CTTGTACCTACAACTAAGGTTGTACTTACCATAAAGACAGGGCAGCAGAGCAATAAGCTGGCTACAAATTATACATTTTTTTGTACATTTTCCTTTAGATTTACCCAAAAACACATAATATGAGGTTACACTTAAACACTTTCAATTGTATGCAGTCCGGCAGGCCCTTGCACTACATAGTTGAAAGTAAATCTAAAGGAAATTGAACAAAGAAATTGTATGATGTCTAGCCAGCTGTAGAGTAAGGGGAACAGCACCAAGGCTTACCTTTTTAAATTATAATTTTTTTCTTTGTGTGTGTCCATCTTCTGGATATCTCTATAGACATTTGCGTCTAAAGCTGGCCTTTGATGGATTAAATTTTGCCTGTTTAGCCAAATTTTCTTCTATGTGTGGCTCTCCCTGTTTATTTTCTGTCAAAGGAAGAAAAGTTTTGGGGCTCAGCATCTGCAGCTAATTGGCTGCAGCTGCTGATCAGTTTTTTCTTACATTGGAGAGTCCCGCTTTCAAAATACAATTTTCCATTGAGGGAATTCCCCCATCCACCTCAAATCCGATTGAAGAAAAAACATACTTGGACTTTCTCTATACCCCATAGACACATACAACAATTTATTCCAAAATATACATTTTATTACAAAAATCCAGTTAAGAATCACAAATACATTATTAAAAAAATCAGCCTGTACAATCATGAAGAGCATTTCCCTTGGCAACCATACAGGTATAGATCGAATACCGCAATCCCGGGGTGAAGTACAATACAAAGGAACACAAACTCCAAAAAAATATGATCCTCTGCATGTTTTATTGTGGTAGCTGCTTCTTCAGGAGGCAGAAATGGAGGCGTAGTTTAATAGTTGATCTAAATAGACGTAATAAAATATTAATAATAGTAACAAAAACCACATACACAAATCATCAGTAAATTGGTAAACTCCAGGCTGAGTTATAAGGTTTATGAAAAGAAAAACTGCTTTTAGGGTGGGCCAGAAAAGTAGTTACTTATGGTGGCATACCAAGTACCTTAAAACATAAAGTTTATTGATATTAATATTTTGTTTTGAAAGTGTATATACGGTGTGGACTGAGACAACTTACATCGTAAGTTCAGTTTGTGTAAACAACATGAATGCACAACACAGACATGACAATCAAAAAATAATAAAAATAGTTATAAGGCTTACCCACCTCTTGAATGTCAGGAACCTACACAGAAATGAAAAGTGGAACCCGGGCAAGGTCCCTCCCCGGGGGTGGATGTGGGGGTAGGCCAGTACAGATTATTATGAAAATACATTTTCTAAATACATACATTTTTCACAGGCATATAAAACATTGCAAAAGTCTAAATTCCATAGAAGAAATAATATTGTTTAGATAAGGAAAGTGTTTTTCCTGACTGAGAAGTTTATAGCATAGAAACTTAATTTGTGCACCAAAAAAGTCATGTGAGGAGTGGTGCATCACATTTAATCCTAGTATTATACCTAGGCAATATAGATGTATGATATGTCCAAGTGTATTATCATTGTTTGGCACTATGGTGAATAAAGGTAGTAGTGCAAACATAAAAAGGTAATGGGAAAAATGAATGGGAAAAGAATAATAAAAAGGAGGATAAAATTGCATGAAATTGATATAAAATTTAAGTGCATATGACTATAGTGGGTCTGTGTATAACCAACCTGAGTGGGGATATGTAGGGAGCTTCTATGAAAGTGTAGAATAAGAGCATGCAGCTTAGTGGGGGATCAAAAACGGCTAAGAGCCAAAATATATAAACCAACTGAATAGGAAGGATAATGAATATGTGGAAAAGAGAAGAATAAATCCAAATAAATGTAGACAAAGTAAGAAACAATTCAAAAAGTGTGAGAAGGCCAGGAAAACAAAAGAATGGTGGCAAAACAAAAAAAAACAAACAAACAAACAAACAAAAAAGCTGTAGGTACTGTAAAGGCTGAGGTAAAAATGTCAATTAACAGTTAAAGTGCATGTCAAGCCAAAAGCTTTTTTGGGAATTATAAGGACCTCTGCTGATTTTACACTGATATCACTTACTATTGTGAAGAGTAAGAGAAAATCTGCAACAGGGACACATACAGAAATAGAAATGATAGAATCTTGTTTTCCTCTACTCTACTTAAAGTGATTGTAAAGGATCAAACATTTTTTTGTAATAACAAACATGCTATATTCATTTATATATCATTTCTATTTTGCACAGAGCAGCCCCGCTGCTCCTCCCCTCTGGTCCTTATGTCGGCACTCCTTGCTTCTCCCACCCTCTGAGCGGCTTGCTATGGGGGCACTTGTGCGTGCTCACTTCTGAGATGGCTATGTGTGTCATAGATACACATAGTGTGACTTAGCCCTACCCCCTGATCCCTCCTCAATGGCTGTGATTGACAGTAGTGGGAGCCATTGTTGTCTCTGGGCCAGTGAGGAGGGACAGAGCCTCTGCTTTCCTGCACAAGTATAAGGGGGGGCTGAGGGGGGGTGTATGCAAAGGGTTTTTTTATCTTAATGCAGAGAATTCTTTAAGGTAAAAAAAAAAACTTCTGCCTTTAGAACCACTTTAAAAAGGGACTTCACCCCCACTGTTTTTTTTTCTTTCACTTGGTTTCCTGGGTTATCCTCAAAACACATAGTCACATATCCAGCGAATTTAGTGTTGTCCTGCTCTAATCTGCAGCTTCACTGTTGCGTGCCAGGAGCCACACCACCATCTTCTTTGTTTCTGTCATTGGGAGCTGGCAGTCTCTTCTGGGTTCTTGCAACCACCACTCTGATGATGCATTGCAGCAAATGCTCAGTGTGTTCTAGATTGCCCTGATGTCTCCCGGGATGTATGGCGTAAGTATTCCTGGAGGCTATGGGCATCTGGGGACATCATTCTCACCTAGACAAGAAAGGTAGAAGTGTGGGCTGTGCGCCACAAAAAAAGTAATTTCCAAAGAAAAAAGAGAGAGGGGTGGATTTGTGTGTGTTTGCAATATTCTTTAAAGAAGAAAAACAAGTGAAGTCAGCTTTATTAAAAAAAAAATTGGTTTCTTTCATTGCTGTTGGAGAGAAGGGATGAGCTTGATTCCAATCTCAATCCAACAGTAAGAGCTGTCATTGCTGGTGCATGAGATGAAGACAGCTGCATGTATACAAAGGGACGGGGATGCTCATGACATCAATACCCAATTATGGCCCAGCAATGACAGCTAAATTCCAGGTTTGGACGAACTTGTGTTCAGACCGAACCCAACTCCAAACCCAAGATCATCACTGTTGGAGAGTTCCCCTACTTCGTATCTGCTAAAATGTTGTAGCATGACAGGAATTGAGGACACGTCTCACTAGTGGAGCCTCAGATAACAAGTAAACAGTTACAGTGGTTTTAACTAAGAAACAAAAATTGTTTAGCACTTCCGCCTGGCAGTACTAGGGTCGTTGGTTTGAATCCCAGCCACGGCACCACCTGCCTGGAGTTTGCATGTTCTCCCTGTGCCTGCGTGGGTTTCCGCCGGGTACTCCGGTTTCCTCCCACACTCCAAAGACATGCTGGTAGGTTAATTGGATTCTGTCTAAAATGGCCCTAGTATGTGTATGTATGAATGTGAGTTAGGGACCTTAGATTGTACACCCCTTGAGGGTTAGGGACTGATGTGAATGTACAATATATATGCGTAAATTGACGGCGCTATATAAGTACCTGAAATAAATAAAATAAATAATTGTCTGGACATATGATTTAAAGTGGTTGTAAAGGTAGAAGTTTTTTTTACCTTAATGCATTCTCTGCATCAAGGTAAAAAACCTTCTGTGTTCAGCTCCCCCCAGCCCCCCCTAAATACTTACCTGAGCCTGATATCGATCCAGTGCTGAACCCAAGAGCAGCGGCTCTTCTCTCTCCCCTCACTGTTCCTTGCAGCAGCAGGAGCCATTGGCACATGCTACTGTCAATCAAACCCTGTGAGAAGAGAATGGGGGCGAGACCAGGCCGCATTGTGTGTGTCAATGGACACAGAACCTGGCTTGGGATCCAGCCTGCATGAGTGTTCCCATGGCAAGCGGCTTGCTGTGGGGGCACTCGGCAGAGGGGAGGAGCCAAGAGTGTCGATGGGGACCCCAGAAAAGGAGTATTGGGGCTGCTCTGTGCAAAGTCATTGTAAGCAGGTAAGTATGACATGTTTGTTGTAAAAAAAAATACGTTTACAATCACTTTAAATTGTACCTGTGAACCTGTGAGCAGGCAGCTTTCTGCAATAGCAGAAATCTAAATTCCTACTGGAGGAATTTCTTGGGGAACTGTACAATTTACAAAAACCATGTAAAGATCATGGCTCAGGAACGAATGGAGCTGCTTCTCTTTATACTTGAACATTAGAACATGGTTATAACTTGCATAGAAGGCTGATTTAACGACTAGATCAGCCTTTCCCAACCAGGGTGCCCAGGCATCCGCCGGCATCCAGACAACCAATGACATCATCAGTTGATAAGGAAGATGTCAGTTGCCCACATAACATCCTTGTTTGACCCTCCCCTGCCCCTCCCCATCAGTGCTGGGGTCACGTTAACTGAGTGATGGAGAAAACCTGAGGGAGAAAAGAAACACTGGAATACTAGTCAGTACCAGTGTGCAAAAGTGTGTTTGCTTTGGAAGAATAAATCACCTCTAATGTTGGCTGTCTTACATGTGTGGATGTTGCTGCATTATTTAAAACTATTAGAATAGTTTTTTACATTTTAGAATGGAGTGCCTCAAGACTCCATAATTTTAAAGGGTGCCTTGACTGAAAAAAGGTTGAGAAACACTGGACTAGATAACCAGCCTCAAATCATTGTACAGTAGATTAATGTAGTTAAGCAATAAAAGCTGATTTATGATTACTCCATGTTTGCTTTGTGTAGTATGTGATTTAAAAAATTCAAAGCACAGCACAATCTTTAATTAGAAGATTTCTACCATTTCATGTTCACTCCTATTTGTATGTGTCTTCCAGGACATCAAGGGACACAACTGGGGAGAGGAAGACTCTGATGGGGAAAACGAATGTGGGGAGTTCCTATATGGAGTACAGGTATCATTTTTGTTAATAAACTGTTGTCGTTATACCACTGAAAACTACTACATGAAGAATGTACATGCGGGCCTCTTACATCACAACAAGCTTCATATATTTGTGGAGGCTCAAGGCAGAAATCAATACAATGCCATACAGCTCAATTACAATGCCAATATAAAAAAAACATAAAGCTGGAAGAAAAGGTTTGCCATGAAATGTTTTCTGGTTTGTGCGGTTGTCGTGGCTGTGTCCAGGGACACCGTCCCTTGGTTCCACCCTCTACCCACCTCCATGCACCGTCCCTTGGTTCCACTCCCTACCCACCTCCATGCACCGTCCCTTGGTTCCACCCCCTTCCCACCTCCATGCACCGTCCCTTGGTTCCACCCCCTACCCACCTCCATGCACCGTCCCTTGGTTCCACCCTCTACCCACCTCCATGCACCGTCCCTTGGTTCCACCCCCTACCCACCTCCATGCACCGTCCCTTGGTTCCACCCCCTACCCACCTCCATAACCGTCCCTTGGTTCCACCCCCTACCCACCTCCATGCACCGTCCCTTGGTTCCACCCCCTACCCACATCCATGCACCGTCCCTTGGTTCCACCCCCTACCCACCTCCATGCACCGTCCCTTGATTCCACCCCCTACTCACCTCCATGCACCGTCCCTTGGTTCCACCCCCAACCCCTCCATGCACCGTCCCTTGGTTCCCCTCCCTACCCACATCCATGCACCGTCCCTTGTTTCCACCCCCTACCCACATCCATGCACTGTCCCTTGGTTCCACCCCCTACCCACATCTATGCACCGTCCCTTGGTTCCACCCCCAACCCACCTCCATGCACCGTCCCTTGGTTCTTCCCACTACCCACCTTGCAGAACTGCCACTTTTAGAGAATACAGGACCAAGTATCATTTTGTGGTGCTAAGTAATTAGTTAATGATAATAGATCCCCTGCAGCCAGCAACAGCACACCTGCTTTCAACAATAGATCTCCCCAGCAACAATAGACCCTCACCGCAACAAGATCCACCCCAGCAACAATAGTCTCCCACCAGCAACAATAGATCTTTTAGCAACCAGCATCAATAGACCCTCCAGCAGCCAACAACAGTAGACCCCTCCTCAACAGTAGATCCCTCCAAGCAACAACTGACTCCCTACAGCAACAATAGATCCTCCAGCACACCTTACCACCTGTTGCCATTACGTGCATTCAGTGCTAGAGGTGCCGAAACTGCGTTCCCCCATGTTCCCTCTGAAAAAGAGCCCTGGCTGTGACCATGCAGACAACTGCATCCAAATAATATGAATGGGTTTTGCCTGCACTCGAATGCACAGAACATCTGTACAGATAAGACACGGCCCTCACATGGGTGTACGCCTAATTACGCATGTGTGAATGAGGCCTAAAGAATACATACTTGAATACATTTTTTTTTATTTTAAACCGAAATTTCGTGTCACTTTAAGGTAATATAATACTGGCTTTGTGTGGGCAGAAATAATCACAGTGGTGACATTTCCAAAAGCCTGTGATTGTTAAAATTTTTAAATTAGATTGAACTCATTTACTTTCATGCAGTAAACACAAATGTCATCCAGATCATCTAACATATTTGTTGGAACCTGGGGATTAATGGTGAGATTATATATTTTTTTAATTATCATTTTTTATTTTATATAAGTATTTTTTGTCTATATTTATGGCGTTTTTTTTTCTTCAAGATTAGAACTGCCCCTCCCAACAGCTGACCGATTCGGCTTCTGGGCTTGGTGCATGTTAAGTACCATTGCTGTACACCATGCCTTTTGCACAGAGGCTGGTAGAGCAACCATTCCTGGAGACAGCAGCAGAGCAGCTAAGGTTTTTACATTTGTATACTATCTGCCTTTTAGGGACCATTCCCATTGGTTTTTTGCTTCAGTAAAACACATTCATTTTACTCCAAGAAATTGCATTTCAGGTAGAAATCAACATTTTCTCTGTACAACCCTATTCTGTCTTCTTTACTTTTGTATCCAAAGTTTATTTTTTGGGGCTCTTTCAGACAGGCAATAATGTTAACTGCCCTCTGAAAAGTGATCTGTAGTGAATTGCTTTTCAGAAGGTGGTAGAGCCGTGGCTGGCAGGTGTTTGGAGGTGCTACTGCTCTCTTCTGGAGCATGTTTTTTTTGTTGTTACTTTTTTTAAAATTACAGAATGGCAGATTTACATTGCGGAACCTCACAACTGTAAGTCAAGTGTTTGACTCGTGGTTGCGGTGCAGCCCCATTGATCTCAGTGGGCAAGTTTTACAGGCTGTGCCACCTAAGTCAAACTTGCCAAGGTTGTGAAGCAAGCAAAGCATCAGTGTCATGGCATGTGCACAGCTCTGTTTGGCTGTAATTTAAGAATTATAGTAGGCAATTCAGAATTGCCTTTTATGTCAGTAGTATACTCTCTTTTAACTCACATTTTTGCTAATAGGCACCAGCCTTATGGCTACAGTCAGTATAACCAAATATATGCACTACTGAGAGCATTGCCTACAGATAACATCAATATGACTTTTGTATAATTGAGGTTTAGTAAGAACAATACCTTTCCCTTTGTTTATAAAAAAACAGGCTTTTGAGTTTTCTTCAAGACATTTGCCTAGGGAAGGTTAATTTGTACCTAAAGGCAAAGTTATTTTTTCATTTTGAAAGGCATGGTGAGGGGTTAGAACCCCTGTCAGGTTTTTTATTGCTGACTGTGTCAGTGCTGGGAAGATTCAGCCTCAGCAAGGGAAATGCACAGACTATTAGACAGATTACATTCTCTACTGTATCTAAATAAAAAAAAGGTTTTGGCTGTAGATATACTTTACCTTTAATGTGGTGGCTTTAACCCATTTGCTGCCATATGTCACAGCAGTGGTTGTTTTTTACACACGTCTACACTGCATTAGCAGCCAGGACTGTGTGTAAATCTGACAAACCGATTGTCGGCTATCAGATGGAAACAATCGGGCAGCTGTACAGTAATTTTCTGGTATACTTGCCCCCCCCCTTTCACACCATGTTTTCTGGGCTTTGCTGGATCAGGACTGGCATTACAGGGGCCTCCGGGTAGAGGGAAGGAAGACCAGTGAATGACCGTTCATGAAGCTACCCTACCTAGTAAGAACGTGGAATTGCTATGTATCAATCACTTCCAGGTTCCGCTGTCAGGGTATCTACACTTCATTAGCTTCAGTTAAAGACAAGTGAAACATCAAGGGTCTACTAGACCGCTGATGTCTCATTAAATAGACCAAAACAGTATCACATAGGAAACTTTTGGTCCCCATGTGATAAAAAATAAAGCAAAATATAAATTTAGGTTATACCCAAGCACTTAACCCCCTTCCCCCCAAAAAAGTTGACACCCCCCCTCATATATGCACATAACATGCACACAAACATACGAACATAAACACATGTGCCAGGGGTGCCTAGGTCTACAAAACGTTGATTGTGCTACACATATTGAACATGCTAGAATGAGCTCAACAATGTTAGGGCCATTATGCATGGTTAACTCTAAACTAATGACTTGTAGAGGCTTTTAAAGCATACCTATTGAAATTTTTTGGTGCCGAAGTTTGACACCATTTGATGGGCGCATACAATTTTAAGGCTTGACATGTTGGGTATCTATTTACTTAGCAGATTGTCATCTTTTAGATTTTACCAAATGGGTAATTTATTGCGTTTCTATGTCTTAAAATAATGTTAATGTGTTTTTGCTGAAATTTTTGTGTGTGCTACTATCATATGACAAAAAAAATTGTAACTACCACTTTTTTTTATTTAGTTAATGTGTACAAACAAATGCAAAAATGTTTCTGGTAGTAAAAGGTTAAGTATCCGCTCTCCCCCTTCACGGTACTATATTAATAGGCACTTTAATCCATGACACAGACAGCTCCTACAATGATTGCATTACCTGCTTGCCTAAAGCCGGTCATACTTGGATCAAAATTTTGCCGGTTCAGCAGGAACTGGATGCATTTTGATTCATGTATGCACAGGCTGGTTGCACACCAGTCTGTTGGGTTTTTCCCGAATGATGAGGCACCAGCTATAGCTGGCAACACTGATCATTGTATTCTGAAGGTGGGGAATGTGTAGACAGGGGAATTGGGCCTGTTTTTTAATTCAACTTGCTGGTTGAACAAAAATAACAATCAATGTATGGGCTGCCTAAGTCAATAAATAATAATCTGACTCCACTACCATTCAGTACACAACAGAATCTTCTATTCCCATCAGCTGCTCAAAGCAAAAGGAAGTCCTGGTGTTATAGACTCCAAAGCATAAGAGCGCTAACACGTCTGTCATATAGCTGGAGAACATGTGCCTACCAACTGCTGCTCAAATAAAGGTCTTACCATGGCCCTGCTGGGACTGCTTGGGCTGTTGTGTTCTGTTTATGTATTAATACTGTATCCTGTGTCTTCTTCTCACCCTTCTGTAGCATAACGCCCAAACAAAACGACAGCAGAGCTGGTTACTGTTTCTTCTGCCTTTGTAATTCCAACATGTTCCACTATTATGGCTTCTTTATATAGCTGTGTCTCACTGCTGTCTCAGTAGAAGCCTGACCATGTGGTGCAACGGCAAAGCTGATGTCTATGTAGAACTACAAGCCCTAGCATTTACAACCTCACAATGGCCACCATTTCACAAAAAGATATTCCTCCAATTGATGTTGAACATCATACACATCAATATATTATTCCTCTTCATTAAAAAACAATACAATATATACCCATTGGACACATTTTTAGGTACACCTGTTCAAATGCTTGGTAACACAAATTGCTAATTAGCCAATCACATGGCAGCAACTCAATGCATTTAGGCATGTAGACGTGGTGAAGACAACTTGCTGAAGTTCAAACCAAACATGGTTTGGGGAATGGGGAAGAAAAAGGGGATTTAACTGACTTTGAATGTGGCATGGTTGTTGGTGCCAGATGGGCTGGTCTGAGTATTTAAAAAAACTGCTGATCTACTGGGATTTTCATGCACAACCATCTCTAGGGTTTACAGAGAATTGTCAGAAAAAGAGAAAATATCCAGTGAGTGGCAGTTGTGTGGACGAAAATGGCTTTTTGAGGTCAGAGGAGAATGGGCTGACTGGTTGCTGCAACATTCAGATGGTAGGGTCAGAATTTGGTGTAAATAACATGAAAGCATGGATCCATCCTGCCTTGTATCAACGGTTCAGGCTGGTGGTGGTGTAATGGTTGTGGGGGGGTATATTTTCTTGGCACTAGCAAGGTGTACCTAATAAAGTGGCCAGTGAGTGTATAATGTAACAAACCCACTGCAGGATCCTTGCTGTGTCTCAGATACATACAGGTCTATTTGTCTATGTTTTTTCACCCAAGAGTCACTAAACTTTCACCTTCGATTCATACATTTTTAAGACTATATTAAATTCCAAAAGAGTATTGACTGAAAGTTGTATGAATCTTAGGTGATAATATTGATAAACAGACCCTACAATACCTGATGTATCACTATGTAACTACTAAAAAAGTTCTTACAGTCAACAATCAGATTCAAAACAGACAAGATATTGATTTTTAATACAGCAGCGAGGTTGCTGCTTGAGGAAGCAAACCCCCACCTTCCACCCAGCATACGAAGAGCCCTATAACATCTGTCTTAATTTGATGTATAGATTAACCACTTGCTGACCACACTATAGCCGGATGATGGCTACAGCGCGGCCTTCAAGTTCTAGGAGGGCGTCATATGATGCCCCCTGTGGCGCACACCCGTGCATCCTTTGGGCACAGCAGATCACATGACACGGTAAAGGGCCAATCACAGCAGCTTTTTACCACGTGATCAGGTGTGTCTAATCGTGAGGAAAGTACTGCCGATAACCTGCAAATGTGAAAGGAGACATCTACACTAATAATCAATGCAATGATTATCAGTGCAGCCCCAAAAGTGCCCACCAGTGCAGCCTATAAATGCCAATCTGTGCTGCCAGTTCTGTGCCCATCAGTGCTGCCAATCTGTGCCCATCAGTGCTGTCAGTCAGTGCCACCTATCAGTGCCCAGTAGGCAAGTAGTTAAAGTGACTCCAAACTCTGGTTTAAAAGAAAAAATTCTATTCAAAATTTTTGAATATTCCTAACTCAAAAAAGTTACCTTCTGTTGCCATCAGCCTCTTCCAAATCACTGAATTCTGTTATTTGCTACTGTGATTTGTCTTCCTGTTAGAGGGTGGCCACGTTCATTCTCCATGGTACCTCTGTATGTAGGAACATAGCCACACTCTCTTGCTTGCTACCTGAGATGGTCTAATGACTATGAACTATGGACTATGGGATGTGTGGTGTACATAGAGCAGCGTACTTGACCATAACTAATGTGCACTGATTGTTCCAAACAAATGGAAAAGAGGGGTGAGGTTTGAGAGGTCACAGAAGATGTTACAAGGAGGCAGAAAACCACAGCAGGAAACAATTTAATGAAAAATAGATTACAGGATCACTAAGGATTGTTTATGGATTATTGTTGGAGAATAAGGATATCATTTAGTATCACTTTAAGTTAAATTATGTGGGAATTCTAGCTTTAACACCATGGCAGCAGTTGCAGGATAGCAATAGCAGTTTGTGGTTGGTTTCACTTGCTTCCTACTGCAAAAGTTGGCAGGGGGCATGGCAAAGCCATCCACAATGAAAGCTGATTGCTGCGTATATTATAGAATTACTTGGTTTGCTGGGGTTCCTGGAAGCTATTCAGAAAATCCAAACCATTACCACCTAAATATTTCATCTTTGGCAGTAAGCGTCACTTTACTACTTTTTTGCGGACTCAAAGGCTTGCTGTAAGGGAATTGTAGGAGTACAGTGATAAGGAAACTGGTAACATTTTGGGTAAAATCTGCCTCCGTAATGCACTTTACCAAAAAAGCTTGCCTATAGGGGCTATAATGATGAGAACCGGGCACTGCAAAAACATGGAATATTGTCACATTGCTCATTTCTGACCTTCCCTGTAATGAGACCTTTTATTTTGACCTCAGTATTCTTTTATTTAAATCTTTTGTAATACTATACTTTTTTGAAATCTAATGAGACCCTTCTTAAATCACAGGGCACATGCTGCGCTGACCTGTACAGACACCCTCAGCTAGATGCAGACATTGAAGCTGTTAAGGAGATATATGGTGAAAATGCGGTATCTGTAAGGTATGTAAAGCTGGCACCTTCCTCCCTCTTATCCATTTATCAAATGTATAATGTTTTGTTCCTTATCTCTGCTCATTAAAAATGTGGTTATCCTATGATACAGTAAAAAGTGGAATTGATGCATGTTGTTCCATAGAGAATACATGGTACATAAATCTTAAAGGACACAGCTCCTCACTGGATTTAAAGGCTAAGTTCAAACTGCATAGGTGTGAACCTAGCCTTCAAGGCTATGAGTAAAACAAAATATTTTCACAATAAAAGTGCTATTTTTATAAAAAAAATTTTGATAGAAATGACAAATTCTTTAATTTTACAACATTACTAAATTTTATACTGGACTTTATGCTTTCACTTCTTATTACTTATCCTTTTCCAGGGAGTTCATCTTTTAGACTAGGTTCACATTAGAACATGGTACGAGAAACCCGCGTTCCATGCATGGTTTACCGCACCATCTTCAAAAGACATTGCAGTTGCGTTTTGTGTTTTAATCTGCCCAGCAACAAGTTGGAAAAAAAACCCCCACAAAACGCATCAAAAACATGTCAAAAACGCATGTGCAAAAATGTAAAATGCACCGCAAAAAGCACTGCAGACAGATCAAATGCAAACTACACAGGTGTGAACCTAGCCTTCATGGCTATGAATAAAAAAATATTTTCAAGTTAGAAGTGCTGTTTTTATAAGAATTTTTTTATAGAAATGTCATATTACCGAATTCTGCAATTTTACTACATTACTGGACTTTATGCTTTCACTTCACATTGCTTATCCTTCTCCAGGGAGTATGGGACCATTGATGATGCTGACATCGACCTGCACATTAACATTAGTTTCCTGGATGTAAGACACTCTTCCTTTATTTTACTGCTTCTTTTCTTTCTCCTGCTGTTTTCAGATAATTGCATTGCACTGCTTCCCCCTCCATTTGCCCAAGTACACTATATTGCCAAAAGAATTGGGACGCCTGCCCTTAAATGCACAGAGCTTTAATGACATCCCAGTCTTAGTCCGTAGGGTTCAATATTGAGTTGGCCCACCCTTTGCAGCTATAACAACTTCATCTCTTCTGGGAAGGCTGTCCACAAGGCTTAAGAGTGTGTCTATGGGAATGTTTGACCATTCTTCCAGAAGCGCATTTGTGAGGTCAGGCACTGATGCTGGATAAGGCCTGGCTCTCAGTGTCCGCTCTAATGCATCCCAAAGGTGTTCTATCGGGTGGAGGTTAGGACTTTGTGAAGGCCAGTCAAGTTCCTCCACCCCAAACTCACTCATCCATGTCTTTATGGCCCTTGCTTTGTGCACAGTCATGTTGGAACAGGAAGGGGCCATCCCCAAACTGTTCCTACAAAGTTGGAAGCATGAAATTGTCCAAAATGCCTTGGTATGCTGACACCTTAAAAGTTCCCTTCACTGGAACTAAGGGGCCAAGCCCAACTCCTGAAAAACAACCCCACACCATAATCCCCCTCCACCAAACTTTACACTTGGCCCAATGCAGTCAGGCAAGTACTGTTCTCCTGGCAACTGCCAAACCCAGACATGTCCATTGGATTGGCAGACAGAGAAGCGTGATTCATCATTCCATGTCTCCACTGCTCTAGAGTCCAGTGGTGGCGTGCTTTACACCACTGCATCTGACACTTTGCATAGCACTTGGTGATGTAAGGCTTGGATGCAGCTGCTGTTGCCCAATGCTTTTGGCAATATAGTGTGTGAAATTTCTGATGCTGCAGTGTAAAATCACACAGAGTCTGTTCATTTTTCATATTACTAACTAACCAATTGCTTATTTTTCTTTAATTCCTGCATTACTGTCTTTTCCCTTGCCTGCAGGAGGAGGTAGCCACTGCGTGGAAAGTAATTCGCACAGAGCCTATAGTCCTTCGTTTGCGTTTTTCACTTTCTCAGTATCTGGATGGTCCTGGTGAGTGCTGTCTGTCACACACTGATCTCTACATTGTATCATTTCTTTTGGTTTATCTCTACATTTAATTACAGTATTAAAAAAATATTAATATACTAATATATTAGAAAGCATGTAACATGTATTATTTAGTTTTATTACATTAGATCATTTTGCGTTCTCTACCCAAGTATGTAAACGCAGTGAAGACAATCTAACCAGGATGTTTAAATATGTATTTTGTAATGATGGAAGAAAAAATTTAATTGGTGTCACATGCACAGGAAAAGGAAGATCAGTCTAAATAAAGATAATTTTCAAATGCTCAACATCTTGTATTCTCTTTTGTTGTAGAACCTACCATTGATGTCTTTCAGCCATCAAACAGAGATGACTTTGGGCTGGGAATACAGCTAAAGAAGTAAGTGTGATGAAGGATATATATAGGAGATTCCATATAGATGAAATCAGAATTGATCTTTAGTTTTCTGATGTTGGACTACATTTTAAATGCTGGAGGCAAGTGGTGGGGGTGCTGCCTTCAGCCCCAGTCAGATGCTTGCTTTTATTTTCAACCTGCCCTTGATTGTATATCTAGGGCTTTGATTGGTTACGTTATAAATACAATATAAAGATAATGTAATATATAAAAATTATTATAATTTCCTCCCATTTAATACATTTTGTCCATTTTCTATTTTCTTTCATGCTGCTGCATGCTATGGTTTTTCCATTTTACAAATTAACCACTCCATCTTCAGCTTTTACCTATCTTGGTGCCTTTTCTTTAATCATTTTTGGAACTTTTCTTATGCCTTGATTCAATCTTTACTGAGTCTACATGTTCTTTTAAGTCCTGGATAACATTTTAAGGCTGTCTCCTTTTATTTTTCTAACAGTACACTCTCTGTCCTCCTCCCTCTTCTTTATTTTCTTCTCTGTCCCTTTTTCTGTTTCCTCAGGATCTTGTCCCTGTTCTCGTCTCACCAGTGGCGGTATCTCAGTAATGAGGTCTTACGCTCACAGCAGGAGAGAAGGCTACGTTGGCTTAGAGTCAGTGGTAGTATTAAAAGGTTTCGAGCTGGGTTGAGCATCTTCTCTCCAGTCCCTAAGTGAGCATCTTTAGAGTTGTTCATGTCTTTTCGCACCCATTTTCTTAGCCACTGCTGTCTCTCAGTTTCTGCCCCTGTACTCCAAGCAGAACATAATCTGATGCAGTTATGTATTCATTCAAAATCATTAAATGTGTTTAAATGTAACTATTGTAAGCAAGTGAAACTCTATATCTTGCTTCTTTTAAGTTCCTATAAATTACAGCTCAGACTGAGGGAAGGGCAATTCTTTAGGACAGCTAGATTCATCTGTTAGCCCCCCCAGCATTGCCATCTTTAAAATCCCAGCATGTGTGTAGATCCACCAACCTTCAGGACCCAGCAGAGAGACCTGCAGCAGATCTGTAATTTAGCAGGGGGTTTCTGCACATCTGTACAGATACCCTAAGATTGAGGACATCATACGTGCATCATCTTTGTGCATGCACTGGAATTCCTCACCCGCAGGGGCGGACTGACAACTCATGGGGCCCCTGGGCAATAGGGGATCTTGGAGCCCCTGTGTCCTTGCCCAAACTCAAAAAAAACTATGAAAAAGATACCAGGGGCATCTCATGGGGCCCCCTACTGACCCCGGGCCCTCGGGCAGTGCCTGAGTTTCCAAATGGTCAGTCCGCCTCTGCTCACCCGTGTGTGTGCAGATGTGCTACAATTCTCAGGCGAGAAAGACGGACGTGCTGCAGCACAAAAAGTGTCAGAAACACACACAATTTTTTTTTTTTTTTAATGTAATGGTGGAAGAAGGAGGGAGGAAAGGACATATGAAAATTTACTTTATTGGGTGAAGCTCTGCTTTAAAGAGTCTACCGACAGTTACCGTTAGTTTAGTATTGACTAAAGTAGGGAACTGAAAAAAAAAAAACATTAACATGGTATCTCATTTGGAAGATTACCAAACTGAGACACAAAAGAAAATTTCTCCAAGTGAGGGGAAGTTTCCTCCTAAACAGACAAACAGTTGTACCTGAAGTAAGTGCCCACATTGGAAGATATCTGCTTACCTCCTGTTTTGGTGACAAACATAAGATGTTGGATTTCACATCACTTTCTGTCCCAGTGACCCTGGTCACCAGGACAAATAGAGAAAATAATCCTTTTAAATGGGTAGTGAAACAACAACAAAAAACCTGACAGTGGTTAAAATAGTTATCCAACCGTATCTAAAACGTAACAAACAAAATAGCTAGTGTTACACTTTAAGGAATGTAACTCAACAAAATGACCTTGTTTGGGTAATTTATAGATATCTGATGTTTTAAGATGCTCTAGATAGTTCAGAATTCATATCAGATTTATTTTATAAATGTAGATATCACCCCTGATTCACTGTATTACAGGTCTCCCAGTTTCCCAGGAGTTCAGGACTCTGCTGTGCGGAGTAGCCTCACAGGGTCAGATCTCAGAAGTGGTCTTGCAGGAACAGATCTCCGTGGTCCCCGTCTCATGAACAGATCAGTGTCCTGCACTCTAAGAAACCCTAAATCTGAGCTATATGGCAGTCATACCACAACACAGGTGAGACACAATTATTCATCCATCAAAGTGCAAACAGGAAATATTAAAAAAATAAATAGCTTGATGAGATATTATATTATTTTGAATTTTTTTGACGTATGCAAATATAATCTGGATGCAAACTTACTGATGTGTTAACTAACTTGTTTCTACATGTGTAAAAAGCCATATTTGCTTATTACACATGCAGGCCATGCTGCCTTCTTAGTACTACTGCACAGTGACTATGCTTCACTGTTCCTTTCTCTGTATAGGTCTGCTGCCTTGCTTAGACTAGCCAAATACAATATTTTCTGTTGGTAACTTATTCTTTATATGTAGGGTCCAAATTGAACAACTTAGGCATACAAGTAGCGAGTAAAGGGAGAATCTACAAAACTGTATATGAAATACCTTCATGAAAATATGTACAACCATGAAAAGTGTCAGAAATTAATTTAAATTAACTTTACTACAGCTACTATACAAGACGCCAGGGATCGGCCCTGAACTGGAGATATATCCCCCGTAATTTGGTCCCTTTAAGGGAGAATTGAAGGGACATTTTTTAGTACTCAGAGGTTCTCACCCTAGCAGGGTGAGGGGTTCCAGGTTAGTCCGGTTGAAGTGTAGAGGACTGATATAAGTACTCTCTGGATTGGTAAGTCCTCATTTGGGACCCGGAATTCAAAGTCTCAGAACACTTTAGTTGGTAAAGAGTCTCCAAACACTGCTTTGGTCCCGAAAGGGTTAGCCTGCCTACAAGGGAGGCTTGAAAAATTGCAAGAAGGAGTCAGCACATGTATATGAGGTAGAATAGAGTGGTTCACAGCTGTGAACAAGTGTGGATTACCTGGAGACCAAGACACTGTTTTGCTGAGCTCCCTGTACCCCGAAGCGGAAGGGAACCCTAAACCCAAGTGTGGGACTGGTATATTGGCAGTGAGCTGTTATGTGGTTTTGATCATACCAGGATTATGAACAATTTACTTTTTTTCTTTTCAAGAAAGCTGCTGTTTTGATTGCTTGTTTTGAATTTCCGAAAAAGACTATTACTTTTATAATAAGCTGGCTGGTGATCTTGTGCTCTCCAGATTATACTAAAAACAAAATGTATATTCAGTGGAACTACAGTATAGAGCACGTAGCATAATGCAAAAGAAGACAAAGCACTGAATAGAGAGTGATATAACCACGTGATAAACAGCACAGATAAGATGCAATTAAGTGAACAAACAGAGGGGTAGTCAAGATTCAGAAAATACATTGGTCATCTATTGACTAGTGAAAGGCACACATTAAACCCAAGAGCAAAAATGTATTCTATTGCAGCTTCCCATTTCTTAGTTGTGGTGGCTGCTTTAAACACTTCAATACCAGGCACTTATACACCCTTCCTGCCAAGGCCAATTTTCAGCGCTGTCGCACTTTGAATGACAATTGTGCGGTCATGCAACACTTTACCCACATTAAATTTTTATCATTTTTTTCACACAAATAGAGCTTTCTTTTGGTGGTATTTAATCACCACTGAGTTTTTTTATTTTTTGCTAAATAAAACAAAAAACACCTGAAACTTTTGAAAAAAAAAACGCACTTATAAAATTTTGCAAATAAACAACATTTCTTCATAAATGTAGGTCAAAATGTATTCTGCTACATTTCTTTTGTGAAAATAATAATAATAATTTAATTTTTTTTTTTTTTTTCTCAAATGTTTCTATTTTTTGTATTTTTTATTAAATGTTTTTTCTTTTTTTTACTATTTTATTTTTCAGCACGCTGTGAGCAAAGCAATACAATGTTACCATAGTAACACTGAACTACTCTGGGCAAGTGATCAGGATTTTTTTTTTTTTTAACACATTATGATTGCTATAACCAATGTGTTTCATTGATATTTGCAATCATTGTTACTGAATGAAACTGATTCATTCAGACTTTTGTTGTGATTAGCTGTGATTGGGCAAAGCTGATCACATGATACAGATGGGCTGTGATTGTCCCTGTCTGTATCATGTGACTGCCTTAACCAGTGACAGCTAACAACATAATTGTATACAATGGATAACATGACAGGAAGCCATCCATTGTATACAATTGACATGTGATCTACTGTGATTGGTCACAGCGGTCACATGACACTGGCAACAGGCCGGTGTAGTTATATGTCATCGGCTGTGTCCCCCAACCAGTGACAGATCGCGCCATTGCGCGGCCCTTCATCCGCGTGAGCGGCTTGTTTTGACAGGACGTCATGACATCCGGTCACAATGGCGAGTGTCCTGCCTGGCCGTCAATCTGCTTTAGGCTGGGTGGGAAGGTGTTCATTTTCTTTTAAGTATGTTATTTTTCAACTTCCTTTACCAGGTCAAGCAATCCAGCAAAAGTGACAATCAGAGTGATAAGACAACCCATTTAAATGACAGGGAAGCGTACAATGATCAGCTTTTATTCATTAATGTAAAACCATTATCCCAAAAGGAAAAATAAACTCACAGTAACTGCTTGAAAAGTGTTTGGTGGAGTTCCCCTTAAACGTATTAGGCAAGTCCATTTAAAATCTGCTAGTGCATCTAACACTCCCCTTTCCCCAAACTGACAATGCTATTGTCCAAAAGGTGTCTCCATTGCTTCTCCATTCACAGCGGAGACACCCAAAACTGGCTGGATCACTAGGTGAAAATAAAGGAAACAAGCCTGAAAAAGAAAACTACTGCAGCAACCACATTTAAGGATTTTGTAAGCTGCAATATATTACTTTTTTAAGTGTAATACTACTTTAAGATATGAACACATAAGATAAAAAAACATTATTAAAAAGATATGCAGCAGCAAACCTCTGTCAAGAGTAGAGAGTAAAGTGAGAGCAAGTTTGATATTTTCCATTATTGTATTGTGAATATACAGTGATTGCAAGAAATCGGTAATATTCTGGAGCAGCAAGCAATTGGCATAGTTATTTTAACTGTTTGCAGCAGAGACACAAGGTCATTGTGGCAGTTGAAGTATGTGTCATTGAGAAAATAAGGAGCTTTAAATAGCAAGACCATTAAACAGACTAAAAAGACACAGGCACCTGCTCAGCACAGTATAGTTCTGTGAGAATAGAGTATAACACAAAGGTCTAGTGGTAGATGTAATTCTATACAGAAAATAAGCTCTGTGTGTTTATGAGTTTGCTATAGAAACTAAAGCCAGTTGAACTTTCTGGTCAAATCAGCTTAATACATTCCAAGTGCATTAAATGGGAAACCTATGGTGCCCATACACTAGACGAAATATTGTTCAAAAATCTTGTCATTTGGACAGTTCATTCGTTTTCTTGTTTTGACATTTTTGAGCCACAAATTCAAAGGAAAAGTTTGGAAAACTTCTGCCGAACAGACGATAAATTGAAAGGTTAATGTGTTTCTCGCCGTTAAAAATCAAACTGTTCGTACTGTGCATAATTGACAAAACTAGTGAAAAACTTTCATTTATGTCCCTTGACCAATTTATTGTTCCAAATTTGGTCATTACATGATGGCATTATCTTTTGCTTTCACGACCAAGTGTTCAATATTTGAAAACAAGTTGAAAAGATTTTTCTACTAGTGTATGGCCAGTTTTAGACTGCAGACTGCATTCACACCTGAGCATAGCAATTTTAGGTGTTGTGAGTGCAGGTATACAAGTGTTTAGAAGTGCATTTCAAGTGTTCTACATGTAAATTCAAGCTACAGGGATTTTTGTTTTAGTCATTAAAAACACTAGTGAGACGGCACCAGTCCTTGCAGGCTAAAAGATGCCTGAAAAATCTGTGCGAAAAAAAACTCTGCCTTAAAAGAAACTCATGTAGCTTTTGGAGCATTAGACTTCAGACATCTGATTGCTCACGTTCATGTGCAAATATTGAATTACATGGGATTTTGAATGGGTTTTTTTTTTGGAAGTTCCAGCTTCAATCTACAAATTGCTCAGATGTGAATTAGGCCTTACCGTTTGTTTGCGCCTCACAACAACCATAGCCTGAGTAGAACACCCGACACTTGCTAGGAAGATGCATGGAAAGACTTTTTCTCTTTGTTTGGATGCAGTGGTATAACTCTGCAATCAGCAAAGCTCATGCTTCCTGCACTAATACAAGATAGATTTATTGTGTATTATCCAGCTATTCTCATATAGGGGTTCCTTAACTCTCTGGACTTAAAGCGGAGCTCCACCCAAAAGGTGAAGTTCCACTTTAAGGCCTCCTCCCCAGCTCCTGTTTGTGAAATTGAGCTTTTGGGGAGGATTTTGACAGGACATTATGAGGTTACTGTATGTGCGCAGGTTCAGGCTTCTGTTTGGTCCTGCTGTCCCTTGTAAGATCATACATAAGTTCAAATAAAGTCTGTACATATTTTTCTTTGTGCAGGTCAGTGGACACTGTAAGACAGTTCCTACTCTAGAATATGGCTTTTTGGTACAGGTGAGTTATCTGCCCATTTATTAGTCCATTTATGTTGATTACCAATAATTATAAGGGTTCTTAGCACCTTTTAAAATCCTGTATTTTCTCTGTCCTTTTTGTGTATTCATCCCCATTCTTCCTCTCCTTCTCAGTTATTTGTTAATTTGTCTTTATTAATTTATTATGGCATCTCTTTATTTTGTTTTAAAATTTAGATAATGAAGTATGCAGAACAGCGCCTCCCAACTTTAAATGAGTATTGTGTAGTATGTGATGAGCAGCATGTCTTCCAGAATGCATCCATGCTCAAGGTAGGTCTTTGACAATGTTACTGTAATATTATGCAAATTCTCAGTGTTGGTTATTGTTATTGGTTGCTCCTTCCTTTTATTCATTCTTCTCTTCATGGCCAACATCTTGTCTCCTGCAGCCAGCAGTGTGTACTAGAGAGCTTTGTGTTTTCTCATTTTACACTCTGGGAGTGATGTCTGGGGCTGCCGAAGAAGTGGCTACAGGAGCTGAGGTAGTAATCCTTCTTGAGATGTCACCTCTTCTTAGCATGTGATCAGGTCATTGTGCTGCTTTGTGCTAAAGAGTGGTTTTGGTTTCACTTGCAGGTTGTAGGTCTGCTGGTTGCCATGTGTCGAGCGGCCTTGGAGTCACCACGGAAAAGTATCATATTTGAGCCATATACCCTTCAGTAGTGGACCCTAATGACCCTAAAACACTGGCCTTTAACCCTAAGGTGACTTCAAACTTTCCCTATAAATATGATCCTTACAGCTAGCCTTCATATATAGGATTGAAATATTTGCATGCAAATATTTAAAAAAATATGTGATGCAGGCTTTCCAGAGACCAGTCACTATTGAATAATAAATCCGCCAGAAGACTTTACTGCAGCACTATTATTTATTATTATACAGGATTTATATAGCGCCAACAGTTTGCTCAGTGCTTTACAATATAAATGGAGACAATACAGCAAGAATACGGTTCAATACAAGAGGGTAAGGAGGGCCCTACACTATGGAATCATTTCAAGAAGTAATATGTAGCTGCTAGTATTCTTCAACCAGCTACACAAGGGTTGTTAGTGAAAAAATATATAAATTAGAATCAGAATTCACAATATGTTTATGATGATTTTGCCTATTAGTAATATTGCATGGTTCAGTTTCAGTACTACTTTTTCTCATATTTCATAAAAGTTAATATGGCAACATATAATCCTTAGATAATTGTGCAAATTTGAAAGGACTTTCTTCCAACTTTTCCATGGGAATATTTTGCAATCCTAAACTTGATATATTCCATTATCTTCAAATCATTTGGATTATTTTGCACTATATCTGTATGCTACATTTCAATAGCATCACTTTATAATTAAGTATATAAATGTTCCTACAGTCATGTCATCAATCAAAATTAAAAATAAAACAATCAATTCTGTCAAAGTTTAGAGAAATGATAAAATGGATGAATTCTGCACTGCAATTCTGCCAACAGAAAGGGATGATAAATCAACTTTATGACAAAAGACAATCATACAATGATACATAAAGCTAATCGTATTTTAATGAAAACTGTGTAATATGGATTAGATACATTTCACAGACTTGTTCCTCTTTGAAGTGAGTATAAAATGTTATCTTTAGGCTCCATGCACACTGGGCTTAAAAAAAGCGCCATTTCACTTGGCAGAAAAAAACGCTGATATATTTTTGTACACAGTTTAGGAGAGTTTAGCATTTTTTCTGCCAGAAAGCCCCAATCAAAAACGTAAACCGGAAGGGTTTTTTTCCTACCTCTAAACGCTGAGTTTAAAATATACCTCTAATCGTCCTAATGTGTATGGACCCATAGGATAACACTGAGCTACTTCTACAGGCAAAAAACTCCTGTAGAAGCAGCGATTTTTCAGCCAGTGTGCATGGAACCTTAGTGACCTCAAATGGAAACTCAGCACATGGAACACACAGCTACAGAAGCTTACTTCCAAAGCTGAGCTCAGAAATGTTGACCTTTCACTTTGCAAGTGCTTGAGCAGTACTACGGTTCTTGGCATGTAGCTAAAAGGAGCCACAAAATGTCAGCACAGTAATAACCACAGTTACCGGTGTCAAAGTGTGTGACCTAGTGAATCTTGATATACCCTTGGGAGTTAAGACTTAGGGTGACCTTACCTTACCAAGCAGGCAAAGTATAATCATTTTGTCCTCTAACTTTGGTATACCTTACTTACTTTACGTGTTATTTTAAACATTTGACTGCTTGGGGGTTTACCAGAAAAGCAGATATATTTGTTTTGGATCCCAAAAACTATACTGAATTTGTTGTGACATGGTCACATAATGCTACCAAGTGCAGGCAAATTTCTGAAGAATAAAACTATATGCTTTACACAAAAAGGTTTAAATCACTTAAAATGTTTGCATAGAAATGTTTATATAGTATACTGCAAATAAATGAACATACTGCAGGTACATATTTAGTGATTCAGTGGCTGTCACTGCTGTGGGACTAACACTGCGTGATAAAGGAAAACATATATATAAAAAGGATACACACTGAATTATTTTGTACTTATATTTTTCCACTGCAGAAGAAGAACTATGAACGTCTCCAAAAAGCCTTAGACAGTGTCATGTCCATCCGAGAGATGACCCAGGTAATCTCAGAGTGATATATATGCCTGTCTGGAAGCTTAAGAAATTAAATACTAATAATGATCTACTGTTTTCTAGGGGTCATACTTGGAAATCAAAAAAAACAAATGGACCGCCTTGACCCACTGGCTCACCCATTATTGCAATGGTACTGCATATAATAATAATCTATTACAAATATTTAAAACTGTTTAACTTCTATAGTTGGGAAGATACTGGAGAGTTTAATAAAAGACCACATAGATGAGTTCTTGCTGGAAAAAAACATTTAAGCAACAGACAGCATGGATTCATGAAAGACAGAAGTTGTCAAACAAATCTGATTTCTTTTTATGAGGAGGTGAGCAAAACTTTGGACAGAGGGATGGCGGTGGACGTGGTATACTTGGATTTTGCAAAAGCGTTTGACACAGTTCCCCGCACACGGCTAATATGTAAGATAAAAATCTACAGGCTTGGAAAAATCAGTATATAAGTGGATAGAAAACTGACTAAAAGATTGTATTCAGAGAGTAGTGGTTAATGATTTATACTCTGAATGGTCTAGGGTTGTCAGTGGTGTACCCCAAGGTTCAGTGTTGGGACCCTTACTATTTAATACATTTATAAACAATATAGGGTCTGGGACTAAAAATAGTATTTCAGTCTTTGCAGATGACAGCAAGCTGTGCAGTGGAATAACGTCCTTACAGGATGCCTCCAATTTACAAGCCGACCTCAATGCACTGTTTAATTGGGCAACTATGTGGCAAATGAGGTTTAATGTTGATAAATGTAAGGTTATGCAAGGTTAAGAATATGCATGCATCATACATACTAGGGGGAGTACAACTGGGGAAATCAATGGTGCAGAAGGATCTGGGAGATCACAGACTTAATAAAGGCATGCAATGCCAAGCTGCGGTTTCTAAAGCGAGCAAAATCCTCTCTTGTATTACAAGAGGTATAGACCCCAGAGAGGGGGATATCAGATTACCCCTGTACAAATCATTAGTAACACCTCATCTGGAATATGCAGTTCAGTTTTGGGCACCAATTCACAAAAAGAACATTGGGGAACTGGAGAAAGTACAGAGAAGGGCAACCAAACTGATAAGAGGCATGGAGGAGCTCAGCTATGAGGAAAGATTAGAGGAACTGAATTTATTCTCTCTTGAGAAGAGGAGATTAAGGGGGGATATGATCAACATGTATAAATACGACATAAATATAGTGAACTCGGTGTAGAGCTATTCACCCTGAGGTCATCACAGAGGACAAGGGGGCACTCTTTACGTCTGTTGGAAAAGAAATGTAATCTCCAAGTACGGAAAGGTTTCTTCACGGTACAAGCTGTGAAAATGTGGAATAGACTTCCTCAAGAGTTAGTTCTGGCCAGCTCAGTGGATTGCTTTTAAAACGGCCTGGATTCTTTCTTGGATATACAGAATATAACTGGTTACTAACATTTATAGGTAAAGTTGATCCAGGGAATGTCCGATTGCTTCTCCGGGATCAGGAAGAAATTTTTTCCCCTGTAAGAGCAAATTGAATCATGGTTTGCTGGGTTTATTGCCTTCCTTTGGATCAACTGTGGGTGTAGGATTATAACTTTTTTTTTAATGGTTGAACTGGATGGACTTTTGTCTTTTTTCAGCCAGACTAACTATGTAACTATGTATCACAAAAGATTTTTATAGCATATACCTAATTTATAATTTGTAAGTAGATAGATAGATAATATACATAGATATACTATAGATATATATACTCACTGGCCACTTTATTAGGTACACCTTGCTAGTGTGAAGAAAATATCCCCCACACCATTTATACCACCAGCTTGAACCATTGATATCAGGCAGGATGGATCCATGCTGTCATGTTGTTTACACCAAATTCTGACCCTACCATCTGAATGTCGGATCATCCAGTCAGCCCATTCTCCTCTGACATCAACAAGGCATTATTGTCCACACAACTGCCACTCAATGGATATTTTCTCTTTTTCGGACCATTCTCTGTAGACCCTAGAGATGATTGTGCGTGAAAAAATCCCAGTAGATCAGCAGTTTTTGAAATACTCAGACCAGCCCACCTAGCACCAACAACCATGACACATTCAAAGCCACTTATATCCCCTTTCTTCCCCATTCTGATTCTCGGTTTGAACTTCAACAAGTCGTCTTTACTATGCCTAAATGCATTAAGTTGCTGCCATGTGATTGGCTGATTAGCATTATGTATTACCAAGCAATCGAACAGGTGTACCTAATAAAGTGGCCAGTATGTGTATATATATATGTGTATGTATATATATAATATATATATACAGTGAAGAACAGCAGTATTTGAACACCCTGCGATTATGCAAGTTCTCCCACTTAGAAATAATGGAGGGGTCTGAAATTCACATTGTAGGTGCATTCTCACTCTGAGAGACAGAATTAAAAAAAAAATCAGGAAATCACATTGTATGATTTTTAAAGAATTTATTTGTCTTGCACTGCTGAACATAAGTATTTGAACACCTAAGAAACAGCAGGAATTCTGGCTCCCAAAGACCTGTTACTGTGCCTTTAAAAAGTCCACCTCTACTCCACTCATTAATCTAACTTAGTAACACCTGTCTGAGCTCTATAAAGACACCTGTCCACCCCACAGTCAGTCAGATGCCAACTACTACCATGGGCAAGATCAAAGACCTGTCAAAAGACACCAGAGACAAAATTGTGGACCTCCACAAGGCTGGAAAGGGCTACAGGGCAATTGCCAAGCAGCTTGGTAAAAATAATCAACTGTTGGAGCAATTGTTAGAAAATGAAAGAGGATAAAGACGACTGTCAGTCTCCCTCGGACTGGGGCTCCATGCAAGATCTCACCTCGTGGGGTATCACTGATGATAAGAAAGGTGAGGAATCAGCCCAGAACTACAAGGGAGGAGCTGGTCAATGACATGAAGAGAGCTGGGACCACAGTTTCAAAGGTTACTGTCAGTAGAACACTACGCCGTCATGGTTTCAAATCATGCATTGCACGGAAGGTTCCCCTGCTCAAGTCATCACATGTCCAGGTCCGTCTGAAGTTTGCCAATGACCATCTGGATGATCCAGAGGAGGCATGGGAGAAAATCATGTGGTCAGATGAGACTAAAGTAGAACTTTTTGGTCTAAACTTCACTCGTCGTGTTTGGAGGAAAAAAAAGAAGGATGAGTTGCATCCCAAGAAAACCATCCCTACTGTGAAGCATGGGGGTGGTAACAGCATGCTTTGGGGGTGCTTTTCTGAGAAGGGGACAGGACGACTGCACTGTATTAAGGAGAGGATGAATGGGGCCATTTATTGTGAGATTTTGAGCAACAACCTCCTTCCCTCAGTCAGAGCATTGAAGATGGGTCGTGGCTGGGTATTCCAACATGACAACGACCCGAAGCACACAGCCAGGATAACCAAGGAGTGGCTCCGTAAGAAGCATATCAAGGTTCTGGAGTGGCCTAGCCAGTCTCCAAACCTAAATCCAATAGAACATCTTTGGAGGGAGCTGAAACTCTGTGTTGCTCAGCTACAGCCCCAAAACGTGACAGATCTAGAGGAGATCTGTGTGGAGGAGTGGGCCAAAATCCCTGTTGCAGTGTGTGCAAACCTGGTCAAGAACTACAGGAAACGTTTGACCTCTGTAATTGCAAACAAAGACTTCTGTACCAAATATTAAGACTGATTTTCTCAGGTGTTCAAATACTTTATGTTTATCTGTGCAAGACAAATAAATTCTTTAAAAATCATACAATGTGATTTCTTGAATTTTTTTTTAATTCTGTCTCTCAGAGTGGGAATGCATCTACAATGTGAATTTCAGACCCCTCCATGATTTCTAAGTGGGAGAACTTGCAAAATCGCAGGGTGTTCAAATACTTCTGTTCCTCACTCTGTGTGTGTGTGTGTGTGTGTGTGTGTATATATATATATATATATAGTATAAAAATGTATATACAGTATTTATATATATTACATAAACACAACCAGTCTTCATAATGCTAAAGACATATTTCCATATAAGCAGGCATTCCATTGGATAGAGAGACAGCTAGCTATGACCATAGGCAAAATCATCACATGCTGTACATAGCATATAAACCTGTTCAGTAAAATGTGACTAATATTGAGTACATTATTCTACCTAAATTGCCACATACTTTTATCTTTCTTATTGCAGGATCATTTCCAGTAACAGATCCCATATTGTAAAGCTGCCCCTCAGCAGGGTGAGTGTCTCATCATATTAATTGCGCTTAAAAAAGTATACAAGATGTTGCAGGCAAATTTATAATATAAAGGAGATAGCATAAGTATTAAATTATATGTACATGTTAAACTCATGCTGCCAAGAACTAAACTTCCACTTTGTGCCAAGAGGGTAGATTGGTAATAGGAGCTGTAAATCGGTGACTATATACACAGTTAGATGCATTCATTGAGTGACCAGACTTCTATCCTTCCCGAATAATGGAGATGTAAGTGGAAATAAGGCAAGGAAGCTGGCTTAATCAAATATGTGTGATGATGCTTAGAAGATTAAGTCAGCTTAGATCTTAGTCCTTCTATTGATTTTTTTGAGATATATCAGAATCCAGGTCTCCAGAGCTCATAGAAGATCTCTAAAGTTAATGTGACAAATGAGGACATGTGATAGTTGTAAGGTGCAATATTGGGTAAAGGATAGAAATAAAGCATTTTGTTTTGACGAATGGACTGATGGAAAGCAACCAATAAAATTTGGAAAGTAGATATTAATATAATCTCTAAATGTTTTATAGTGAAAGTTCTGTGTGTGTATATATCTGTTCAGTCTTATCAGCCTCATGGCTAATGTGTGGGCACCATGTCTGATACACTTGAAAGCCTTTTTCCATAGAATTTTTTTGGCAATTTTTTTTAGGAGATAGGTTGCCAAATCTTTCCTTAACATTCCTCAGTTGCTCATCTTGTGACTGGCATACAGAATGCGTACACACATGCAAAAGCCAATTTAGATAAGAGCCAATTAACCTGTCAGCATGTCTTTGGAGTATGGGAGGTGTCACATGTGAACAGTGGGAGAACATGCAAACTTAATGCAGATAGTGTCCTTGCCAAAATTTGAACCAAGGACCCCAGTGTTGTATGTGCTTACAACTCTGACACTGGCACCAGAAACTATACATATGTAAAGTCTACAGTAAATGGTTATATAATGAAAATGCCTACTAAGGCAAGAAATTGATAAAAGCATCTCTTATAAAAAATGAAATTATATAGTGTGTTTTTACGTTGTACATCATATGCTGCACAGATTTTACTCTCTTTCTTATCTCTCTCCTTTTTACCTTCTCTATTTTGTTTCATTTTTCATCAATTATTATACTCGCTTTTTTTATTTATTTAAACCATTCCCATGTACAAAATTACAATATGTTTTTATCTTTGTTTTCCTATCCCATATGTATCTGCTTTACCCTTTTCACCTTTTTCTTGATTTTTGTAATTGGATGATCTTGATTTTTTTTTTCTTGCTATTGTTGCTCTTTTTCTGGTCTTTTCTTTGCTCACATTTTTTACAAACGCCCTCATTTTACACCTGTGTATCGTACCTTCTTTCCCTCATATCCATTCTCTCTGCCTTAATCCTGTGATAGCAGCTGAAGTTCATGCACACCTCTCATCAGTTTTTGCTGCTCAGTAGCCCCCCAGCCAAGGAGGCCCGATTCCGAACTGCCAAGAAACTCTACGGAAGCACATTCGCCTTTCAGTGAGAGACAAATTGGGACATGTGGTGGGGGCAAAAAAAAAAAAATGGTTGGGTTGGAAGGGGAGGGAGCTGAAATAGTTAAATATGTGTCACACAAAGAGATTATGAGAATGTGTAGCAAATTAGGATGAGAAGGAAGAACAAAAGTAAATTTGGTGGATACCAGACATGACAGCTCCACTGAAGTATGAAAAGTAGAGTGGGTGCAATGAATTGTATTGTTACAAAGAATGGTTGCTAGGCAAAGGAAGAGTGAGGGACAGAACAGCTTATGACTATGGAAAGGAACACCAATGAGTCCTAAATACAAGTTGCTTTAAAACTTATAAACACAGATATGTAGAGAGCAAAAAAATAGCTATAAATAGTTATGGTGAGGTGGACCAAAAAACAAAAAAAAACAAAAAGTCCTCCAGTAAAAAAAACTGTAAAGTTAAACATTGCATTCTTCAAGGAGAGTGCAAGTATATGTCATTAATACCACCACAAATTCAGAACCAATAGGTTTACTTTTCAAAACAGAATTAAACCCCAAACCAAAAATGTGATATATCACAGCTTACCAATCATTGGATGTGATGCCTGCATTAGTATTCTTTTTCACCTCTGTTTTCACCTGGTGATCTGGCTTGTAACACACCTCCTGTATTAGAGTGCCCCACTCAGGAGGAAGGAGTAGGGAGGCACCTGTGGACAGTATTATTATTAATCTGGAGGGGGGCGGTTGGTAGATGCAACAGATTTAGATACACTAACAAATTGAAGTTGAACTCTAGCTAACACTTCATAAGCAGTTACAGAAAAAGTTTTGTTCCTTTTGGGATAAAAGTTTTACATACCAAATTGTTTGTCTCAACCCTGCAACTGCTACATCAGCAGAATAGCTTGTTATTTTGAAAAACAGACTTACCCTTTCCATGATCCACTTGCTGCTTGGTTCCACTTCCTCTACTCTCTGTCTTTTCCAACGAAATTCAGTACTACAGAATACCCTCCCACAACTTGTACAATTCAGACTCTGAATCTTAAAGTGGTGGTAAAACTCAGACATGAAAGACATGAAACATGAACAAAACATATCCCTCTATAGTGCGTACTTGTCTCAATATCTATATAAGAGTCATTATAAGAGTCATTTCTGTCTGCTGCTTCATTCCTCTATCAGCATAAGTCATTTCTGACAAATTTTCCTGACACCAAGATAAAAGTGATGATGAGGAAAGAGCTCCAGCAGATTGTCAGCCTCAACCTTGTTCCTGTGAGCTGTGTGGAGGGGTGTGTGTCCCTTCCCTCCAATCAGCTCTCAGAGCTCTCCTCACCAAGCTTGGCAGTGTGTAATTTCAGCTCTCTGTCCCCTTTTTTTCTGGACTCTCAGACAAGCTTTGGACTTGAACAGATGTAGAGAAGACTATAGATAAACAGGTATAACTTATGTAGGAGGATTTGTTTCATCTCTGTGTATCACCTGAGGCTAGTCACTTCACTGGGTATATGTAAGAGTTTACCACCCTTTTTAGATTAAAGTGGTTTAGTGCAGTTTTTTTTCTTTGCAAAAATATAAAGTAAAAAATTACTCAACTTTCCGAGTTCAAATGCTTCACTCCAGCATTGTTTTGATCTCCAAATGTATTTGGATGTATGCACTCTCAAAACTTGTGTTATGGTTAATCACACAGCCCCTGCATGGGTATACAATAAACTTTTAGGCCCCATGTACACGGGACACTTCTGAACGATGGAAACTGACTGCTGGAAAACATAGATTAAAAAAACACCTGTTTAGCCACGTTTGCATACCACGTTTATGCACATTTGCGTTTAGAAGGGGTTTTTTAAGATAACCTCAGGAGACCTTCCAAAATTGCTAGAAAGCACTGAAAAACAGTAAAGAATTAACTATTTCAGACATTTTGAGAGAAATAGAGAGAGCAGAAGCAGAGAGAGCAGTATTTGTTGAGATTAGCTGTCTTTTATTTTTTTGGGTGTTTTGGGTGTGTTCCAGCTCATTTCTGTGCAGAAATGATTGCAGCAGTGTCTAAAATATTTGTTTTAATGCAAAACACTTTGCATGCATTTTTCACGATGAAAAAAAGCTCTGGACAGCATCTGGAAATGGAAGAGTTAATAAAATTTTTTTCAAACGCAAACGCCTATAAACACGCTTAGCCGCATTTACAAGCGTTTTGCTTTTTAAACGCTGATAAAATCTACTGCTGAACGCAAGTTTTTTGCATTAAAAAAAAACAACTGTACGCTCAACTGCCTGTAAACGACTGGGGGGGGGTAGGGGAAGGTGGGGAGGAGGGGTTTTTGGAGGGGGGTGGGAGGGGGGGTGGGGGGGGGAAAGGTGTGGGGTCCTTGTCGGTGGGTTTGGGTAGAGCGGGAGGTGGGGGGGGTGGAGGCGAGGGGTGCGTGGGGGGGGGTGGGGGGGGGGGGGGAGGGTAGCGGGTGGGGGAGGGAGGGGGGGGGGTGGGACTGAGGGGGGGGGGGGGGGGTGTGGGGGTGTGGGTGCGAACAATGATGTGTACATGGACACATAGGAAGATATTAGGGTGAGTTCAGGGGCTGCTGAAAAATACGCTGAACAGCTCCTAAACGTGAGTTTATCAGCTACAGTGTACATGAGGCCTTATAGATCTTGGTTTCTTTATTTACTCTTTACACATCAGCACCTACATTTGCATGTGACTTGTTGCTGCAATAAAGTTTATTTGGTACCAGAAAAACATATTTACTATCCTGATCACCAGGTTAAAAGAAAGAAAAGAAAGCCTGAAAAAAAAGAAAACTAATGCAGCCATTACATCAAAGAACTGATAAACTGAAATATAAATGTTTGCTTTTGGTGCTTAATACAGCTTTAAGGATAGCAGGATGGGTTATGCAAATTGTCCATTTATACTCCTGTGTCCAACAGATCCAAACAACTCAATGGAGAGTGATTTACTCAACTTACATACAGCTTCAGACTGCATGCATCTCCATATTGCTGACTCTCTGTTATAACCCAGCGATTTTGAAGTGCACAGTTTAATAGGAAATAATCTAATGTAATTATTTGCATGGGTCTGCCCATTGTCATTAAAGTAAAAAGAAATCCCTTGTTCTATGCATTTAGGATGGAAGTGATCACATGTATCTTTTATGCTGTACTTCACAGACGTGTAGGCAAGATCCCAAGGTGCAATTAACATGCTTGAAAATAGATTGCAATGGATATTTTCTTACACACATGAATTCATGTCAACATTTTAATTTCATTTAAAGACACTGCTTTGCCTAATTTCTGTCTAAAGTGCTTAAAAAGGTAAAGCATTTATTTATGTTCATCTAAAAAAAAACACCCTAGCTCTAGATGGGCAATATGGGAATGATCCAATTTTTCAACAACTGAGGCAATATGTGAGAGTGTTTGTGAAGTACAAACAGGGGCGGACTGACCATTTGGAAACTCGGGCACTGCCTGAGGGCCCGGGGGTCAGTAGGGGGCCCCATGAGATGCCCCTGGTACCTTTTTCATAGACTTTTTTGAGTTTGAACAAGTACAAAGGGGTCCCATGATCCCCTATTGCCCGAGGGCCCCATGAGTTGTCAGTCCACCCCTGAGTACAAGTAATGTGTACTTACTCTTCAGCCTTATTCAGTCCTTTTGTCTGTCACAATTATAATGGCACAGTGGTTTACTGTAATCTCCCCCGGAACTTCACAGCAATATTGATCCAGTACTGTGTGTATAGATGGGTATTGGGGAAGGAGGGGCAGCTGACATAAAACGATGGAAAAATGTTCAATTTATTTTACTATATATGTTGCAAAGATAACTGGATCTCTATCTTTTCCACTAGCGGCTCTCATATTGAGAACTGGCACTCTATTCTGAGGAATGGGCTAGTAAATGCATCCTACACTAAACTGCAGGTAGGTTTCCCTAAACTGTGATCTCTCATGTGGGCCATTATTTTGGGTCATCAGGAGGCTTCACAGAAGAGTTAAGATTTATATTTAAATCACTTTTATACTAAATGGGGTCCAATAATTTTTTTAACTCAATGGTGTAGATAAATGGGGTATTTTTCTGTTCATACAAAGAGACTATTTAAAGACAATTAATAAGTACAATATCTGCTAACCATGCATGGTAGTATTGGTAGTGTATGGCATTAGGGGCCTCTGACTGTGTTATCATTTGTCTCTTTAGTTGCATGGAGCAGCATACGGGAAAGGAATCTACCTTAGTCCCATCTCCAGTATTTCTTTTGGATACTCAGGTAATTATCTAGAGTGTACCAAAAAGCCATATAAATTATATGATTTTCTAAGGCCTAATGAATATGTAGTGTTCATCCCTGGAGGGGCCACTAGAAATGACCCAGGTCTCCCTTACCCTGTTCATAGGCTGCCAGGCCCAGTGCCCAGCTCCAAGCACACTGATAAACACAGGCTCAGTCTAGGGGTGTCTTTTAGTAGATTTATTGCAGTGCTGGGGAGGCTGCAAGATACTCCAAAACACAGTACATGTACAGGAGGACAGGTTCTCAAGCACAAATCCTTTAGCAGCAGCTTTTCCTGGAGACAGAGGGAATAGCCAGCTAATCTGAGACTCTATATGAGCAGTCCTAGTCCATATAGCAACCTCTGGCATTCACTCCCCAAAGCACAAGCACACCTGGAGTTTTAGATCAAGGTCCTACTCACAATGTCCAAGGTCAGCTGTCTGTCACCCAGCCTCTCCAGTGAGGGAATAAAAGGATCCTTTTCCAGACCAGCCTCCACAGATGTTACCCTTCAGCAAAGATCCTTTAGTCAAACTTCCTTCGGGCCTTCAGCCAAGCAAGTGCTGAGGCCCAACAGCAACTCTTCTCAATAGTACATACTGGCTGCCTCCCAAAGACAGCAGTCCCAGGAGAAAAAACACTGCTGAACAAGTCTGCCAAACATTTAACATTTCCCAAGCCACCTCCTGAATTCCCCTACTCCTAGGGATTGGCTGAGGTCAGCCTGACCAAACCTAAAAAATAGACTGCTACTCCACAGCAGAGTCAAAAACTACATTACTAAATAATCAAAATATAATTTTATATGGTTTACTATTAGTAAAATCAGCCTTGTAGACTGTGTGAAATTGTTATTATGTCAGACCGTACAAATATTTATTCCCATTTTTATTTATGTACCAGGTTATAGAGTTTTCTTTTCTTTTTATCCCAATAGGTATGGGGAAGGGGCAACATCGGATGCCATCCAAGGATGAGCTGGTACAGAGATACAATAGGATGAACACAATTCCTCAGGTATTACTTTAACTTAAAGCAGAGTTCCACACTCAAAAATGGAAGTTCTGCTTATTTACCTCCTCCCCCCCCCTCCACTGCCATATTTGGCACCTTTTGGGGGGGAGGAGGGGAGCAGGTACCTGGTTTTGACAGGTATCTGCTCCCACTTCCAGCTCAGTTTGCTGTGGCAAAGTGAGCCGGACGTTTGGCCCCCTCCTTGCTCCCGCAGTCTCCTGGGAACTTTCACAGGTTGCGGGAGACTGCCGAATCAATCAGGAGGCATGGCAAGACTCGTGCATGCGCAGTGGGCACCAGGCTGTGAAGCCATAAGTTGTCACAGCTTGGTGCCCACAGTAGAGATGTCGGTGCCATGGAGGACAGAAGGAGAGAAGGGACAGCGCGGGTGAGTACATCGCTGGACCCCGGGACAGGTAAGTGTGTGTTCATTAAAAGTCAGCAGCTACAGTTTTTGTAGCTGCTGACTTTTAATAAACACAAAAACGGCTGGAACTCCACTTTAAGCTATGTTCGCTAAATTGTACCGGAGAATTCATTGACATGCATTAACACATTCAACACATATAGAAAAACTGATTGAGGCCCCATTCACACCAGAAAGCAGTTCAGGAAACCCAAGTTCCATATGCGTTTCCCTCTCTCGATGTTAAGGTAACTGCACTTCAAATGCAGGTCGCAAATGCAGTGCACTTGTCTGCACCAGATCGCATGATACAGAAGTACCATGCAATCAGATTTCCAAAAGCAGCGCATGCACTACTTTTGGTGTGGTGCAGTGCGATTTGAGCCCATTCAAAATCACACACTGCACTAAACGGCATGTGTATTGCAGAGGAAAGCTCATTCTGTTCCTCTGCGTATCCTAGTGTGAACTGGCCCTGAAACAGAAGATATCTGTCACTGAAGCAAATTCGGCTGCAGGAACTATTTTATTTTAAATTGTAAAACTGAAATAACTAGGTCTTAAATATTTCATTTTAGGTGTGCTGTACCATAATACAGCTGTGTGAATAAACACTGGGGGTTCAGAATAATATATTTTGCTACTAAGATCTTAAGAGTTATTCTGCACCGTTTTTAGTATGCATGTAATAAAATAAGCAAGTAATGCTGTAAGTTCTCATATTTTAAACAAGCTTTTTACAAGTTATATTTTATTTCTTGTTTTGTTTATTTCTTGTGTCTTTGACTACGGTACTTATGACCCACTTTGTGTGCTTTTCAATAGTATCATATGCAGTACAATTAGAAACAAGAATGTTATAATGAGTATATGATACTTCATGTGATATAAGGCTTTGTTTTTCAAACACAATAATTCCACATTTACGGATTTTTTTCACAATAATTTTTAATTAGCCGAGGTTGTTCATTCCTTGAAAGTAATAAACAGAGAAATGTTGAAATAAAATATGTGTTAAAAAAAGATCTAAAGAACAAAATGTATTGTATTGTAGCTGTGGGTATATAATTCTGTATATGGGGTTTTTGTATTTTTTTTGGTTTATTTTTTTTTTAATGGTTGAACTAGTGTACTCTTTGTCTTTTTTTTCAACCTGACTTACTTACTATGTAGCTTACCAGTCCATAGATGTGATTGATTCATCCGAGACAAATCTCACCCCCAGAATGCATAGAAAAAAAAATGTAGGCCACTACAATTTTTTTACAGTAAGGCTCCATGTACACTGCAGCTGATAAACTCACGTTTAGGAGCTTTTCTGCGTTTTTTTCAGCAGCCCCTGAACTCTCCCTAATGTTTTCCTATGTGTCCATGCACACATGGTCTTTTACAGGCAGTTGAGTTTACAGTCATTTTTTTTAACGCACCAAACTTGCGTTCAGGAGTAGATTTTATCAGCGTTTCAAACACCAAACACCGCGTTAACCGCATTTATAAGCATTTGCCTTTGGAAATTTTTTTTAACTCTTCCATTTCCAGATGCTGTCCAGAGCCTTTTTTCATCATGAAAATGCATGCAAAGCGTTTTCCCGGTACTCATATGGACCTGGTACACCATACTTTGATGTTTCGCATGAAAGAAAATATGTTAGACACTTCTGCAATAATTTCTGCACAGGAATGAGCTGGAACACATCCAAACACCACGGAAAAAAAAGACAGCTAATCTCAACAAATACTGCTCTCTCTGCTTTTGCTCTCTCTATTTCTCTCAAAATGTCTGAAATAGTTAATTTTTGACTGTTTTGCAGTGCATTCTGGTCATTTTGGAAGGTCTCCTGAGGGTATCTTTAAAAAAAACGCTTCTAAATGCAAACGCGCATAAACGCGGTATGCAAATTCAGCTAAACAGACTTTTTTTAACCTACGTTTTCCAGCAGTCAGTTTCCATCATTCAAAAGTGTCCCATGTACATGGAACCTTAAGCATTTATTTTCCAATAAAGAACAAGAATAATGTTACTGGCAGGGTCACTAGGTGAAGATAAAGCCAAAACTTTAAATAAAGGGACTAATGCAGTTATCTCAATTAAGGAATAATAAGTTGCATATATATATTATATGACATTTCGGTTTTGGGATGTAGATACCCTTCTAATATGGTTCAGAAACATGCTAAACACAATTTAAATGTAGCTTTCAGTTGTATTGCTATGATGTATATAAGGCAAGTGACTGGATGGCTGCATAGGCATGGGTACAAATGTGTGTAACAGTGATTTTATTGGTGGATAAATGTACCGATTTGACTGTTATAAAAGTTGTATGTATGGAAGTACATTATTTCTTAGTTATGGTATATGCGGTATGTTTCTATGAGGATATGAGGATACGGTATGTTTCTAAAGCTGTTTACTGTACATCAAGAGACACAGATTCATTACTGCCATCTTCAGTGAGAACTTTAGCATTTAGTTACTTTAGCATATTCCTGTTTAAAACAAGATAAGTGTTACATTTTCTGCACATTTTTATATTCATATTTGTCAGGATTGGCGAAAAACTGCATTTTGCAATGAAAATGGTAACAGGGCCAGATCACTCCAGAAAGCAGTGTGACAAAGGCGATTTGAACATACCGCCCTTGCACTCTGCATGCAGGTGCCAATGTACATTTAAAGTGTCACTAAATCTACAACAATAAAATCAGTCTGTATATGCAGTAAAACATGCTTGTTATACTCACTGTGGAACCTAAGGGGTTAATCCTGCACATTATGTAAAAAGGCTGTTTGATCCTGTGTTCTCTGATCCTCCCCTTCTTCTACTGTCCCAATTCATCTGCTCATAGAACAGAGCCTTGGGCGCAAGCTGTACATGCTCAATTTGGTGTGTATGGCTAGAGAGGTTTTTTTTTTTTAAATCTAGGGAGAGTGCATGTGATCAACACAGGATCAATCAGTGCTGTACAGACAAAGGGTCAGGGGTTATGCAGCCCCATAGGACAATCAGGGGAGAATGAAAGCTCCTCCTACAAACTTAAACCAGTGCTCTGCTGGACACTGATAGAAGTCACAAGACTGCTTTAACTGCTGATGAGAAAAGCTATTTAGCAGTTTGTATTTACTAAAATAATTGCATTTCTATGTTGTGTGTACTGTGGAAGACCAGATATAGTGAATGCAGGGACCTGGGTTTAGTAACACTTTACAGTACTCCAGAGATCGCAAACGCAATGGGTTTGCAAGCATCAAATCACATACTGCAGTACCATGTGATATGGTGCAGTATGTTTTTAAAAGTAGTGCATACACGACTTTTTCTGCATTTTGGCATGATTTAAGGGCCATTTACATGAATGGCTGCAAAATCGCACCACACAGGAATCGCTACTGTGCAACCCCAGGTGTGAACCAGGCCTCATTGTTTATGGAACAGTGCCAAATATGTGTTGTTTATTTTTACACAGATTCAACACTTGAAGTTGAAAAAAATGACCCTTCAAGTGCTTAATCTGTAAAAAACACAGATGCGCCACTTGGAGAGCTAATTTTTGTTTCATTTCTTTTAAACTCTGTTCAACAAAAGATGTTACAGAAAACACAACCATCATCACCCCCTATGCCATCAGTCTGGCACAGCAGGCATGCTAGCTGGTGTGCCCATATCACTCTCTCTGTCAGTTGCCATGATGATTGTCATTTCTGACATCTGTCATGCTTTTTTTTTCCATAATCAAAACTTTTTATTAAAAGAAAGTAACAAAAGCATACAGAGTTGTCCATAGATATAAGCAAAATGAAATCTAAATCAACAGTACAGACTGGAATCTCAATGTAGACAGTCATTTAAAAAAAAATTCAGTGTTCCACCACAAGTAACTTACAATTGCAACAGTAGACATCTGTCATTCTATGTTTCTGCTTTCTCTCTCTATTAGACTCGATGTCTCCAGTCCCGTTTTTTGCAGAGTCGGAATCTCAATTGTATTGCACTGTGTGAAGGTAACTGAATCTATTTAATTGCGTTTTGTGGTTCAAATTAATTGTATAAGTGAAATAAGAAAAAGGTTTGAAAGCTGTGTTGCAGTGTACATAATGGTTGATGCATAGAAACTAAACAAAGATCTGGAGAAAGGTGCAGCAGGTGCCTAAAGTCACCACCGGGTTCTATACTTCATTTCACAGGAAAAAGACACAAGGAATTTGCTTGCCATGGGAGCTAGTCAACTTTTCTTAAGATTTCCCTGCCACAACTGTTATGCTGTAAAGTGTATGTCTAGCCAGAACCTTTATGTCTTAGTTTTGGATATAGTGGGGAAGAGAACCCCTGTCAGGTTTTTACTGCTTTCCACAGCACCATTAGAGAGATTCTCCCTCACTTCCTGTACTGATGACATTTTACTAGACATGAAATGAGGGGAGCTCTCCTACAACAACATGGACAGAAATAAAATGTTTTTTTTTTTATTGTACCTAAAGGCAAAACTTTTATTTTTCATTCTGGATAGAGTGAAGAGGCATTAGGACACCTGTCGGGTTTTATAGCCGTCTGTGGCCCCGTTATCCTTGCCCTGTTTACCACTAACATCAAAATTTTGGGTTGACACCAGAACAGTAATAGAGGGGAAATATTCCAATGGGGACACTAGTTCTGGTAACATACCGGGATTCCGTCACTATGGAGGGATTTCCTCTCACTCTCTCTGATGGGACAAGAAGTGAAAGAAAATCTTCCTTATAAGACACAGAATCCTGCTTACTCTATCCAAAATAAAAAAAAAAATACTTTAGTTACACTTTTAAGGATAAATTCAATGTTCAAGAAAAAAATAATAAATGAACATATTTTTGCAGGAAACAAATGAGCATTTATTATTTTTTACTGCAGGAGCCTGAAAAGCATTGCATCTGTAATCAGTGGATCAGTGGTACAATGGTCAGGCTTCTGCGGACAATCTTTGTGCCTATACCTTCATACGAGCTGTCTGTTGAAAGCTGCAGGGCTAGTGAATGAACTACAAGAGTGCTCATCAGCACCCTCACAGTTCATTCAGAACTACAAGCTGCCAGCCGCAGTGTTTGATGGTAGTTATAGTTAATTCATTCACAGGAAACTGCGAATGAAAGATGTGGCCTTGTGGGCGGAGCCCCAATGTTAAATTGTGACAGCGGGTGTGGGGACAAAATTCCCTACCCGCTGTCACACCAGGAAGGGTGGGGGAGTGAGGGGAAATTGATGACTGGAGCTGTAATAAATTACATGTTCTACTCTCAATATGGGTGGAACATGTAACATGTTCCAAAAAGTGAACTTAGCCTTTAAGTAAAGTAGGAGAAGAGTAGATGTCAGATTTGTTTTCTGTCTGTGTCCCAGTTGCAGACTTTACCTCATTTCCTGCCTGGTGAAGCTGTTGTCAGCAGGAAAGACAGTGAGAGTATGTCTTGTTAATGGCGGCCATACATATAACAATTTTATATATAATTGTATTGTCAATTGATTTATTGCCTGGAACAAAAATACGATTAGAAGACAGAAAACATCATTCAGTGAGATTTATTTACTAAAGCTTGAGAGTGCAAAAGTAGGTGCACTTCTGTATTGAAACCAATCAGCTTCCAGGTTTTATTGCCAAAGCTTAATTGAATGAGCTGAGGTTAGAAGCTGACTGGTTACCATGCACAAATGCACCAGATTCCAAGTGAACCAATTTTGGTAAGTCTCCCCCAATGTGCCATACACTTAACTATCATATTGATCTATCTACGATTGGAATCACCAAACTGGGGCCAGTGGGCCAAATGTGGCCCACTGCAAGATTTTACCCTGCCCTTTGTTGTAAGAGGGGATTATGGTGTCGACTGTCATATAAGGGAGACTTTGATGGAGATTTGATGGAGATTTGATGTAAGGTGGCTCTGATGGGAACTCAAGTTCATTTGGATATGCTTTGCTTTGTTTTACTGACATTTTTTTCTACTTATAATTCTAAATATAAAAAAAAAATCAAAACGTATTAATTTATTTAAATTTGATTTATCTGTGAAACTGATTTTTATTTTTTGCCTGTGAATATTTGTAAAATATATGATGTAACCTCCGCACTGAAAGTTTTGGAGACCCCCCTCCCATCTAGACCAAGCAGGGTGTGCTCAAAATCCAATGAGGGCACAATATGGAGTGTATTTATAAAAAAACAGCAATTTGCCCCGTGAAAGTGCAGGTACATTCGTTGTGTGCGAATCTGGGCAAAAAAAAGGGCTGTGTTTATTGATTTAGAATGGAAGATACCACATTTGGTCATTAGATGGCACAAAGTATCATAGAAATTTTGTATCTAGTGGCCAAAGGTTGTATTTTCTGCTTTGACAAATTGAAAAGTAATCCACCAACACAGAAAATAGCCTAATAACATTTGTTTTTGCCCCCATTCACACAAAACAAAGTGCATGCACTTTCACTGGGCAAATTGCTATGCAATTTATTTAGAAAAAGACCCCTATAACCCCGATAATTAATAGATTTAATCATTGTCCAGTTTTTTTTAATCAGATTGTTACCTGTATGGCCACCATTGCAAAATCCCAGATAGTAATAAAAACCTGAAGAGTTTGTATCTTTTCTCACTCTATCCAAAACTAGAAGTAAAGAATTGAAGAGAGATATTTGGTCTTGTTTCCCAAAGTTTCTGAAATTACAACTTACGTTATAGAAAAAATATAAAAAAAATATATTGTCTTAGAGTTAGGCCGACATTGGAAAATGAATACTGTGTATGTACAGATAATACCATGTAAATACAGCATATAAAAATTACATTGCAGATACATCCTGAATAGAACAATCGCTCGCTCTCTCTCTCTGCACAGTAAAATTGAGCCACTTCAAGTGATCAACTCTTGCTAGAAATGGCAAACCTTCAGGTTTTCTTTATAATTAAAAAAGGAATGTATAGTATTTACATTTTTTTAGATAAACTTGTATAAGAGAGTATAGATTGATGAAAAAAGAACAAAATCTTATCAGTAGGTGTTAATGTTTTAAAAAGCTTGGTTTTCGATGTAGAAATCATTATAATACAAATACATGGGGCCGCCATGTTTGCTTATTATATTTGTAGGCCCTTCCTGCTTTGCAGTTTTATACAGTGGCTTTGCTTTACTGCTGCTTTTCACATAGTAAGTCTATATGTCGTTAGTACTCCCTGTGTGGCCAATATATTATTTCAAACAGTTGTTAAGAGAATGACAGAGTAATTGCACTGTGCCACTGATATCTCCCTCTAGTAGCCAATCCATGAAATACCATTTTGTAACCAGAGGCCATTGAATCTTAGATGTCCAGAGAAAATTTAGTTGCATCAGTATGTGTTTGTTAACATTATTATTATTCTATATCCAATTTTTGAGATGTACATTCAGATCTGAGAACTTGTAACATGCATTCCCAGTTCTCTACTACAACGTTAAACTGACTCTGTCATGAGAAAATAATGAGGCTTGTCATTGTTGACTTCTCCTTTGGGTATGCTAGTTCCCTGGATGTCATGCATATACTTTGGCTTCAGTGCTTTCTGAGTCTTATAAAAGTATACTGTTCTAGTCCTAATAACGGTTAAACCAACAGCTAGCTAACAAAACTGACAGAAACAGAATTGTGTTTCATTCCAAAACTGAATTTACTTCTGTGAATAGTTTTGTAAAACCGCAATTCAATTACATAAACTGAAGTTACATTATGCTTGTAAACATGTCTCTCATAATTGCATAAAATGAACACATTTCGTGCAAACAGCTACTTACAAATCACAGTAAATATATTGAATTATGATCTAGTTATATATGTGACTTTAAGAAATACAATGAATGAATTTACAGGCATATGTGTATCAAAGGGAGAATGGTTTTATTCAGGTGCAGTGGCAGATGGTAAATCTTTATTAACAAGACACTTCCTATTCTTGTTTAAAGGAATAATTAAAACAGGTGCAGTTGCAGTGAACTGCCAATAGATCAATACAATGATGATATACAGAATATTATTATTATTATACAGGATTTATTTAGCGCCAACAGTTTGCGCAGCACTTTACAAAATGAAGGTAGACATTACAGTTACAATACAATTTGGTACAAGAGGAAACAGAGGGCCCTGCTCCTTAGAGCTTACAATCTAGGAGATATACAGATAAGTAATTCTGACATGTTTCCATTTACAGCATGCTTTTTCTGCATCTGAGACTCAAAAGTATTGAAACCAGACACAGATAGGACAGTAGCATTTTCAAAAAAATGGCCAGCAATGGCAGCCCCATGCTTTTCTAATGACAGAGTCAATTTAATTAATTTTATGGAACAGGGCATTGTGCTTGAGGGTTTAAAAATAAGCATTGTAATCATGAAGTGATTGGAAAAAAAACAAACTGTCTGCAAAATTCATGTATTCGCCCCCTTACATACTGAGTTGTTCAGCTACACTGCGTCCCTCCCGGTGCTTTGTTGCGCCTGGGAGGGACAGGTTCTGCGTCCAGCCCCACTACAGACAGCCTGCCAAAGTCTGTGGCAGACTGTGGCTGGACAGGGCTGAATGCTGTATTGAGTGGTACTGGCGTTTAGGGACCTGTTCGTTCTGAGATCTTTCCTGGACCCTAATCATCGGTACCACTTGGTACAGCATTCAGCCATCTGCAGCCTACCATAGACTTTGAATGGCTGTATGCAGGGGGACTGGATGATGAAACTATCCCTCCTGGGAACACTAAAACACCAGGAGAGATGCACTGCGGCACAATGTGCAAGGAGCCTTATGCTTATCATTGCCATCCTTTCTGCACTCTCTTCCAGCGATACAGAGTCTTCAGTATCCAACACTTCCAGGTGTGTCAAATGACTGCATCTCTCCGCTATGTTCTGTCTTTTACTCCCAGCTGCTGTCATTAGTGTGTACATCCACACCTACAAAGACACATTAATGACATGGCAGCCAGCATGGAAACAACAGTGGGTAGCAATGATACGCAGGCATCTGACGCACCTAGAAATGTTGAATGCTGAAGATTGTAAAGACGCTTGTAACTCTGAAAGAGAGTATTAAGCATAATACCTGTTTATTTTTTAAGAGATATTGTCGTTAGGATACATATATCATCGGCAGTGTCTCTTTAATACAGTATCAAATATGGAAGAGCAAGCTTGTGAAAGTGTAAAAGTTGTATCAGAAATTACCTTAAAACTGGGTCCACACTAATTAGGTGCGGTACACCGCATGTAATGACATGCAATGTCTGTGTGGTGCGATTTGAGCCATACATTTTGTATGGCTCAAATCTCATCTCATCCGCACCAAAAAGGGGCAGGATACTTTTTTTACCCGCACGTAAATCGCATCACATGGATGTTCTCACCTATGTGATGCGATTTCTGGCAATCACATTGCGTTTTGCAATCTGTTTTGGGGTGTCATTAATTTACATTGACACCTACACAAGATAGCATGAACGCCATGCGACTGCAATGTGGTGCAGGAAGCGCACAGGATTCACAACGTTTCCCGTACCGCATTAGCGTGAACCCAGACTAAAGGTGATCTATATCTATACCCACTTTGTATCTATACCCCCTCTATATCTATACCTCCTCTATATCTATACCCCCCTCTATATCTATATACCTCCTCTGTATCTATACTCCCTCTGTATCTATACCTCCTCTGTATCTATACCCCCTTTGTATCTATACCTCCTCTATATCTATACCCCCTCTATATCTATACCTTCTCTATATCTATACCCTCTCTATAAATCTATACCCCCTCTATATCTATACCTCCTCTACATCTATACCCCCCTCTATATCTATACCTTCTCTATATCCATACCTTCTCTATATCTATACCTCCTCTATATCTATACCCCCTCTACATCTATACCCCCTCTACATCTATACCCCCTCTATATCTATACCCCCTCTATATCTATACCTTCTCTATATCTATACCTCTCTCCTATAACTATACCTTCTCTATATCCATACCTTCTCTATATCTATACCTCCTCTATATCTATACCTCCTGCATCATCATAATAATAGCATTACAAACAATAGTTATATTTGACACATTTAAACTTACTTGAAAAATCTGCTTTCATGTTATGAGTGCTGCCTGTCTGCTGGCCATCTCCTTCCACAACTTCCTGGATTCCCTGCAGCTTCACCACTGAATATCTTTGCTTACTTTCAATTTCTAAGGACCAAGGCTTCTTTTCAGCAGGAACGCGGGGGGAACACAGTTCCAGCACTGAATTTATGTTATGGCAAGGGATGCTGGAGTGTTCTGGAGGGTCTTATTGATGCTGGCTGCTGGGGTTTTTACTGTTGCAGGGGGTATATTGTGCTGGGAGGGCTATTGATTCTGGTGTTGGATCTATTGCTGCTGGGGGGGGGTCATTTGTTGATAGGATGGATCTACTGTTGAGAGAGGAGTCTATTTTAGCTGGTTGCTGGAGGGTCTATTTATGCTGGCTGAGGGGAGATCCATTGTTTCTGGGGGTGGAGGGGGGGGGGGGGGTCATTGTTACTTAAGGGGGTCTATTGATGCTGGCTGCAGGGAATCTATTTTTTCTGCTTTTCCATGCAAATTACTTAGCAGCACAAAGTGATACTTGATTCTGTATTCTCCAAAAGGGTGGTACTGGGAGGGGGTGGAGCCAAGGAACATTGCCTGTAGGTGGCTAGGGGGTGGAGACAAGGGGTGACTTAGAAAGGGAGAGTTCCTGCACCTATTGTCTGAGAAAAAAACCCTTCTAAGGACTACATATCCCATGGTAGCTTGCTGGATGCAAGCATTGATTCCTGTACTGACTCCGCCTCCTGAAACTCCTCCTCTCAGTACCTCTGTAGTTCAGAAGGCAGGCTCTATGAAATGTGTGACTCAGCAGTGCCTACTCACAGGGCATAGTGAGTATGTGTCACTTACTTTACAGAGGTAAATGTGCGGGGATTTTAAAAAAATACATTTTCAAAATTCAAGATTATTCAGATTAATAAGAGTAGACTATAAATGCAATGTGAAAATGAAAATATGAGTTTATTTGTTGACAATAGATACGTTTTAGGCCCTGTTCACACTTGAGCGTTTTGCAGTTGGTAGTTTGAAGCTTGAAAATGCTCAACAAGCAAAAACTTATTGTTTGCAATAGCCCTGAGCGCCCTATCACTTGTAGCATTTTTCCTGTTGCTCAGTAAAGTACATAAGCTACTTTTCAGGCAGAATTGAGTGTTTATCCCCATAGACTTCAATGGAAATGCCTGAAAAGCATGAAAAAGCACAGCTTTTTTTGAGCGTTTTTTTTCAAACGTTTTGTTGCGCATTTGCTGCTCAAACAGCAGCTCTCTGCCTCTTTTTCAGCAGCACCTTTTAGCTGAAAAACGCCTGCCAAAAGCTGTAAAAATGCACAATTCTGCTCCACAAAATGCTAAAAAATGCTTGAAAAACCCTTGGTAAACACTGATTAACACAAAGTATGCAGCAATTGAACATTCTATATACTTTCCATTTTAAGTCAGTTTCCTCTTTATTAAAGGAATTCTGGCAAGCCTTGCACCTTTGTGTTCTCATTGTCAGTATGTCTGCCTCTTTGTCACATGTCTGAATTACCTTTCTGATGTTCAGAACAGCCTGTCTAGTTAAACATTCTTTCAGATGTTACTAAGTTTCTTGATTTATCCTGATCATAAAATTATTATGCTTTTTCATAGTAATAACATCAAAGGATCTGCAGAAGCATGGGAATATTTGGGTGTGCCCAGTGTCTGACCATGTCTGCACACGATTTTTCTTTGTGTAAGTAGCTATATCTATGCCATATACAATATTAAGTATTAATGATGCATGTGTTCTTTCCTAGAACTTTGGTATTTTAGGTGGCTATATGTGGTAGAATTAAAATATTTCTTTACAACATGTCACCTCTTTCGAAACTTACATATGAAATGATACAGACTTCTTGATAACTCAGATTCCATTGTTGCCTTAACTGCATTTATTTAGCGACACGACATGTATAATTTAAATATGCCAACAAATAATTACATTGACAACTTTACTGGCATCATTTGAGGGGAAACAACCTAAATGTTGTTAGCCAAATCCCTATAGCTGTCAGGGTGTTTTCTGGTTGCAAGAAATGCCCTCTCTTTAAAATAGGACTAAAAGCAAAACCTTTTTTTACATCATGTAAAATAAGAGTTATAACCCATGTCAGTTTTGATTTTGCCATGTGTGTCCAATTGGGGAGATTTCATTTCACTTCCTGTCAAATAGATAAGACAGGAAGTGAGAGGATACCCTTCCAGTGAGGGAATCTCTGGTTATCACCAGGGCCACCAGAACTAGTATCCCTATTGTAAGAGTTCCCCTCTATTCCTGTTCTGGTGTAATTTGTGATTTTTTTTCTTTCTCAGAGTGAAATTTCTCAGTGATAAAAGTAAACAACAGAATAATTAGAGGGGGTGAATCTCCCTAACCAGTACAAGGGCATGCACATTCTCACCACATTAATCATGTGCAGGGTAAAAGATTGCAGAGCAGTGGTGTGATGGAGCAGGTGAAGCAGGTATTGTGCTGAAGTGAAGTCTGGGGTGTTGCTGGTTATGGTTGCTTAAATAATGCTGAGGACAGTCTTCCAGTGGGTGAAGACATTTGGGCAGTGTCACCATATCAGCAAGCACCTTCTACAGTGGTATATCGCCACCATCAGTCAGAGAGCAAGGGTAAGAATTTTTGTACAACAGATGGGTTCTATTCGATCGCAAGCATAACTTGCCATTATCCTGGGTGGCATTTAGACCTTTTGTAGATGGTGAGGTTAATGTTACCCCTGTCCACTTCTGTCAGCACAAGAGCCAGACCTTTTCCCATGCCCTATAGGATGGTCCAGTGTTGGGTAAGGGGTTATGAGTAGCAAACATGTTAGAATACAGGGTGGAGATTAAACATCTTTGGGGGGTCATCTGAGATTCCAGAGGAATGAGTGGTCCTGTGAACACATGGCAAGCTTTAGAGCTGTTCAAAAAATGGCATATTTGAAAGTAGGTCAATTGGGGGATTTGGCCTGCAAGTTTTTTTTGTCAGTCAAGGTAGCTCTGTCACAAAAGATTGAATTGTTGAAGAACTTGTATGCTAGAATTTGTGTGTGGCTAGTAGGCCTTTAAGATGTTTGGGGATGTGCCCAGTTCAAAATCTGGACTCATGCATATAGGTGTGAGAGGGCCTGCTACTGAGGAGGTAGTAAGGGACCTAAAGATGCCAGATAAGCACTTTAAAGTAGAATCTATGAGGTGGTCTTGGGTAGATCAGTGGGATTGTTTGAGTGAAACCATGTCATGGATTGTACGTATCAACCCACAATGGCTTGTTCAAGAACCTACCCACTCTTTTTATGCAAAATGAATGTTTCAGCTGACTATCCCAAAAATAATTACATGAATGTAGAAGACCAAATTCCCCTTCATGTTTTGATAATGTCAGATGGGTAAGGTTTAATCTAAGGGTAGTATTGGAATAATCTGAAAGATGTAGAGTAGAAAGGTTAGAATGTTCATCTTTAGGATGGTTGATATCCCAAACCAAGAGGAGTATATTTTGTCTCATGCCTCCTGAATATATTGTGTGTCTTGAAGGAGTTCAATGTAATTTTGTTAAATCATAAGGGAACTAGGTAGGTAATCATGCCAGATTACCACACAAACAGGAAAGCTTGTTGCCATAATACCACATCTTGGGATAGAGTTATGCTAAGTGCAAAAGATTTAACATAGTTGTTTTTCAATTAGATATAATCTTGGGTTCTTCCAGTAATGCCCAAAATTAGATTGGACAGCGTGGTGTGGGAATTAAAAACAAACAAACAGAAAAACATCAGAAGCAAAGTTTACAGTATATTCTGTCTGGACTAAGGTGAAGCCTTATATTTTGGGATTGACATTTACAGTAGATGCCTAAGGAGCGACTTCAAAGTGATTATATTTATTCAGGGGAATAGGGGGCACCCCAGACGAGTCCCGTTTTGGAACACAAAGGTTTCAGGAAGGTGACTTTTCAACTTCATTCTTACTTCAGGGATTGAATATACAGTAGTGATAAAATGTTTTTGCCCATACTTTGTTTAAGGCCCACTCAAACTTAAAGTGCCTCCATGTAATCCCAGGCCAAACTGTCAAATGCCTTCTTGGCATCCATTGACAGAAAAACATGTTATCATGCTTTCTTTCGTTGGGGAAACTCTGCTTGTGTTTACGAGATTAAGGAAGAAAAGAACAGTAGGATGTAAATTGCTAAAATCTTGTCATATACAGTATATCTACATTGAGAAGTGAAATGGTCCTGTAATTGGATACTTGAGTGGGATTCTTCTCTTCTTTGGACAATACTGTCCTGCAATACAATACTGTGTGCTTTTAATAGGTAGGGGGAGATGGGTTGACCAGGGAGATACTTGCAGTCTGTAACAAAATGAAGACTCGGTGCTTTTTCCAGACTTTTGTAATACTTGACGGGTAATCCATAAGGACTTTGGGTATTGCTGGGTTTCATTTGTTTCTGTGTCATGGGAAGTGTCATGGAACAAAAGTGTAGAGATGTGTTTCTTGATTTGATACAGCGCTCTGTGGGGGATAGAGGAAGCCCCCGTGGAGGTGTCCAGTAAGGAATTGAGAGGGATGTTTAGGTTATCTTCTATTATTAGCATTCCAGTTTTTTGCATTGGTAGGGTACCTATTTGTAGTTATTGAAGTACAGTATATGTTAGCAAGGGTAAAATATAAGGGCCCAGAATAAAGGACTGAGTCCCCTTTAGTTGTGTATGTGGTTTTGGTGGTGTGGAGACAGTTAGGAATCTGTAGTTTGATTATCTAGGAATTGAGTTACTTTTAAAATGAGTTTGCTGCAGAAAACAAACATCTTGCACGTACTCTTTGTGAAGTTCATGTAGAGTTTTTTTTTACTTTTTACTCAGAGTATTGAGTCATTTTGTGATGAAAGAGAGTAGTTAAATTACTGTGTTTTAGGAGACACCGTAGAGAAGAGCATTATCAGGTCGTCAATCCCACACCAATGTACCAGTAAAAGGAAACTAATGACCTTCCAAGGTTCAGATATTTATCTTGTGAAGTAGGAGATACTGCACTCTGTGTATTCATGAAACTTAAAACATGTCAAACATAAACACATAAGCATAACACAAGAAAAATTAGATATTTCACTTTATTATTTGCAATGACACAAATGCAGGGGAGGGACCAATTGCACATGCGGGAACCGAACATCTGCAATATGTCTACAATGACATCTGCAATATTCTATCATTTCTTTTTTCCCCACCAAGGGTATTGGGATAGTGAGCAATGAAGTTTAGTGTCTATAGCTTAATTCCATATAATTGGCCTGCAGATGCTATCAATTGGAGAGGGCAAGCCATAGGAGAATACTTCAGTCCAGAGTGTACCCTATCTCCACCCCTCCCCCCACTCACCACTGTTTAAAGCTAAAGTGCCACTGTGTAGTGCAAACAGGTTTTCAAGCAAGTGGGCATCTCACATGTCATGTAGGCTAAAACACATTATGTGTAAGATTTATGGATTTTGCATCAAGGAAATCATGGCTGTATACAAATACTATACTAACTTTCTTGTGTGAGGAACTCTCATGCATGTGATGAAGAAAACAAGGTTACTCTTCCAATTGAAATAGACCAGAAAATTGCTGTGAAGCAGCTTTGTATATAAAGTAGATAGTGGCCAATGAGCTGGGACACCCAGCCATGTGGTAATGGCCACAAAGTGAGGGGTGAAAAAGGGCTCTGTCAGCTACAGAAGTACACATAAGCCCTAAGGGTGAGAGCTAGAGAAGCATTCTTTACAATAGAAAATCTAATATACAGTTTAAGTTGCTAGTTGCCCTTATGAGATGAGATTCTATGGGATTCCTCTGGTTAGGGGTTTGGGAAAGTGATGTAGGCACATGTGGATGCCTGCAAACACAAATGCTCCTGCGCTTGGGGATAGACTCGATGCAGGCTACAACCACATTAAGAATGTCCTGGAACATGCACACCTTGCTGCCATCAAATAGACCGGGGGAATCCAAATATACTGAATGAGGAAAGAAAAAACAGAGGGCGCACAGGCCTAGTGCATTACCATAAAAAATGTTTAATAAAAATTAAAGTAGGTGTTGTACTCACAAATGACAATATAATCAAGGCACATCATAAAGAACAGCTGGGTCAACACCGCACTGAGTAACAGTCCGCAATGGGGAGTGTAGACATCCAATAGGCTGACGCGTTTCAAGGACTTGCCTCTTCCTCAGAGCCAACTGACCAAATGTCTGCTCCCTCTTTTATATGCTCACTACTAGTTGAACCAAAGGTCACATGGGCCGTCCTGGACACTCCCCTATACAGGTGGAGGAGTCACAGGGGCAATTTACATAGTATAAGTAAACACAAAAGATCTATCAACACATATATAAATATATATGTATAAATAAAACCATTAAAACTAGTGACAATCATAAAATCATATGAACCATCAGAAGTGTGCAAATGAAAAATAAATAAGTAGAAAGTTACACATATATATTAAATATTAAAAATCCTTCCCTGGTGATGGATGGATGGATGAACGATGCTACGAAGCTGCCTAGTGCTCTGCTTGCCATAGACAACCATGGGACATGGATTTAATTTAGAGAGTAGATCTGAAACCCAGCAGAGACACTTAATTAATTCATAGAAATGCAGCCTACAGGGTGTGTACTATCATTCTAGTATAGTCATATGTGATGAAACTTAGGCACGTGTGGCAATGCGGTGCACCATGGATGGATATGCATATGTGATACTATATACAGGGACAAAGAGATAAATCACTAGTATAAACATAAATGTTGATATAAAACGTTACAAAAAACCTCTTAATATGGTTCACAACGTTTAAATAAAATAAAATGAAATAAGTATTGTTACAATATAGTATAATATCTGGTAAAATTGGTATAGTGTATGGTATACGTGTGTATGCATAAACATGGAAGCATAAGAAATATAAATATATAGGAAATAAAGAAAAAAAAAATAAAAAATTAATAATTATATAAAAAATGTGTAAAAGATATATATGTGTGTGTTATATATAAGAATTATATAGATGTCAAAGGTGTTATGGAACAAGCACTTGCATCACTAGAGCACATGCGTGCGCACATGTGTGTGTAACACGTCCATATGAGTAACTGCTTTCTTGTAAAAAAACATGTATATACATACATACATAAACATACACACACATATATGGAAACTGAATGAAAAAATGGGTGACCAATGAATGACCCATAGACACAGGAGCCTGGGAATGCGGTCGAACGCATGCGCCTAAGGGTGACATAATAAATGTGAAGTGAGCAACCTAATGTGTAAGGATGCAGGGTAATGGTAGCTATACTGATGATACTATAGTAATCATAGCTGATGAAAATTAATATATTTAAAGCATACATCTGTAGTGGATGGTATACCCACTATAGGTCACAAGGGAAATGATGGAACTAGCCACAAAGAGGGGGGGGGGGGGGGGGGGGAGAGAGAGAGAAAAAAAAAGGAGGGGAGGGGGGTTTGGGAGAGAGACAAAAAGGATGAGAGTAGGACTCTAGGGAACATGTACAGCTCAGCAGAAGGTACCTATGCATAACGGGGGGTCAGTGAATGACCCCATGTATCTCAAGATCTTCATTAAGCCCAGTGGGTGAACTTTCTTCCACCATCTGAATCTCCTGTGATGGATTCAATCCCAAATACTTTCATGCCTGATGGATCACCACTGTGTGCCTCCCAAAAGTGCCGTGGTACGGAATATTTGTATTTGCCTATATTGCTCTCCTTGTGATTAATGATGTTAGATTTGTGTTCGCCATACCTGACTCTCAAGGGATGCATGGTTCTACCAACATATAGGAGGCCACAGGGGCAGATAAGCCAATAAATCACAAAGGAAGTGCCACAGTTGATGAACTGCTTAATCTTATATGTACGGCCATTGGTGCCAGCCACCTCTTTCTTTCTGTGGCACATGTATTTGCAGGTTCCACAATTGCTCACACCTCATTTGAAACTGCCCCTTTGATCAAACAGGGCAGACCAAGGATTGACCGTATTGCTGGCACCAGCAAAAGGCTTCTTAATTCTACTGGGTGCTATGTGACTCCTGAGATACCTAGGTTTCCTGAACACAATTTTCGGGTCTGGGGGCAAGACTCTGACCAAGGACTGGGTCCTGCTTAAGAATTTTCCAATGCTTTTTTGAATGCTTCGCTGTATGTCAAAGGCTTTAGTATTGAACCTGGTGCAAAACCTGACCTGGTTATTAAATCTATTGTTGGGGTCTTTAGTGGCTTTCTTGGCAGCTGTGTGTGGTATATGCAGTGGACTCTCTTCATATTGGCCCCAATACTTCTGGTATGCTTCCTCGATGTGGACCTCACTGTAGCCTTTTTCTTGGAACATGGTCCTCAAGATGGCGCTCTGTTCCTCATAGTCAACCTCTGGTGGTGCATGTTCTTCTCAACCTGCAATACTGACCAAAAGGGACATTTCGGATCCATTTCGGGTGGTGATGGCTACTAGCGTGCAAGTAAGAATTGCCTGTGCTAGGCTTAAAATGCGTTTTAGAGCAGATGTTGCCATCAGAGTCTGTCCGTAATTCAAGATCTAGGAATACCAGTCTGTTGGCATCCACCACATGTGTGAAGCCGATTCCAAAGGGGTTATTTTGGCAGTGTGCAAGAAACCCATCCAGATCCTCGTCTGACCCTTGCCAAATGATTAAGATATCGTCTATATATCTGGCGTACAGGGCCAGATTGCCCCGATATGGGTTGTTGTTCCATATTGATTCCTCCTCCCAATACCCCATGAAGAGGTTGGCATAGCTCAGTGGTCGGCAAGCCGCGGCTCGCGAGCCACATGCGGCTCTTTACAAGCTTAAATGCGGCTCTTCTGTGTGCCGGGCGCCCGCTCCCCCTCCCTCCTCTCCCTCTCCCCCTCCTCTCGGATGGGCGTGTGCCGGGCGGCCGCCCCCCTCACCTCCCCCCCTCCCTCCTCTCGGACGGCCGCCCCTCCCCTCCCTCCTCTCGGGCGCCGCCCCAAAAGTCAGGACTCTGCCCAGGATCCCGGGGCCTCAGGATGGGCGGGGCAGCGTGACGAACTCCTCTCCTCTCACCCCCCCTGAAGTCAGGAACTCTGCAGCTGTCAGGATGTAGCGGGGCAGCCAGGTAAGTGAAGGCGGGGGGACACTATATGCGTGACGAACTCCTCTCCTCTCATATCCGCCCTGAAGACCAGAACGGCGCGGGAAGCACGACGATATGGGGGAACGCGGGAGCAAAGGTAAGTGAATTACTACATGGGGGGGGACTTACTATATGGGGGATGAATTTCTATATGGGGGACTTACTATATGGGGGGGGACTTACTATATGGGGGATGAATTACTATATGGGGATGGATTACTATATGGGAGATGAATTACTATGGGGGACTTACTATATGGGGGATGAATTACTATATGGGGGGACTTACTATATGGGGGGGAATTACTATATGGGGGATGAATTACTATATGGGAGATGAATTACTATATGGGGATGAATTACTATATGGGGGATGAATTACTATATGGGGGATGAATTACTATGGGGGATGAATTACTATGGGGGGATGAATTACTATATGGGGGATGAATTACTATGGGGGGGATGAATTACTATGGGGGGGATGAATTACTATGGGGGATGAATTACTATATGGGGGATGAATTACTATGGGGGATGAATTACTATATGGGGGATGAATTACTATATGGGGGATGAATTACTATGGGGGATGAATTACTATATGGGGGATGAATTGCTATATGGGGGATGAATTGCTATATGGGGGATGAATTACTATGGGGGATGAATTACTATATGGGGGATGAATTACTCTATGGGGGATGAATTACTATGGGGGATGAATTACTATATTGGAGATGTATTTTCAGTTTTAAAAATGTGGCTCTCAAAATAAATTTCAATCGTGGTTTTGGCGAGATTTGGCTCAGTTGAAAAAAAAGGTTGCCCACCACTGGCATAGCTATACATAAGCCCTGCGGGTGAGAGCTAGAGAAGCATTCTTTACAATAGAAAATCTAACATACAGTTTAAGTTGCTAGTTGCCCTTATGAGATGAGATTCTATGGGATTCCTCTGGTTAGGGGTTTGGGAAAGTGATGTAGGCACATGTGGATGCCTCACTGTTCTTCCCAGCTTGTAGTAACATGATCCTAATCAGTGCCTGTGATGGTTGTGGGACAATGAATAGTGTTTAAGCATCACAGTGTCACGGAATGTTGCTAGGGTAGGGGTGTGTCTGATCTGATGTAAAAAGTCAGTGTCCTATTGAGGAACCAACATCCAGGAGACACTCTGGAGATATTAGCTGACAGTGCACAAGGCAACAATATTTAGTCAAAACAGTGACTTTAGGGAGCTCTGTACACTAATGTTACAGAGAAAAAGTCCTTACTGCCAGGTTTTTTATGTGGGCACAGGAATGCTATCCTTTAGAACAGTGTTTCTCAACTGGGGTGCCATTTGGACACCCCAGGGCTGCTACATGCATGAGACCCAGTTTGCCCTGGGTTAGTGTCAAAAGTTGCCATGGTGCAGGTGGGCTGGCTTCCAGCACCATAACATCCAGTGACGCTCTAGGACCACAATGTTTGGCATCATTCATTACTGTGGTTTTGGTGGCAACACATAACACTGATCCAGGCCAGGTGGTATGCAGGCATTTAGGAGAGGATAGATGTCCACTTGCTCCAAACTTATTTTACTGCCTGCCCCCTGCTATGCTGCTCGAGCCAAAATGTAGGGCTCTAATGTGAAGAGGGGACAGTATGATTGGGAGAATCTGTGATGGGGGATTGGTTGTGTGATTGGGGGGGGCTTTGATGTGCTGAGAGGACTTTAGTATTGGAGGACTTTCCCATGGGGGGGCTGTGATGTATGGGGAGGTATCTGATGTGATGGGGGACTCTAATGTGATGAGGGTTTCTGAAGTTAATTTCATCAAGGTAGTTGTCCCAGGATCAGGTTACCATTGATAAGTAACATTTACATTTTTTTAACATTACATTTTAAAGGGTGCCACAACTTAAAAAAAAGGTTGAGAAACACTGCTTTAGAAGGTTCCCGTCTCTTGTCTCCACTTTGCTCTTGGACCTTCTGCTTCATACGGCTATGTGGTCCCCTTTAGTGATCTCCTTTTGGAGAGTGCCTGGCTTTGTAGCTCAATGGGGTCCTTGAGATGAGCAGTGGTAGAATTCCCCGTAGTACAACTGTTTTCTGAGTTCTACTATTATGCAACTCTTGAACTTCAAATTAAAAAACGTTACATCAATATGCGTATAGAAACAAGGGGTTTAAGTAATCATCATTTGCGTTTAGTAGTTAATATTCCCAAAGATTCAAAAAGAATTCCCAAAATCATCCCAAAATTCGTATCCCACAACAAGCAGGCAGCTATCAGATTACTGTTCTCAGATGGCTTTAAAGGTGAAGTCTGATTGGCTTTTACAGGTTTCTTTTATTTATATATTACCATTGCCTCTTGCACTGTCCTCCCGAATCTACAAACTGTCTTGTATAATATATGATTACCATTTGTGCTGTACTCAAGTTACTGTTCCAATTCTAAAAATGCCTCTCTCATTTAAGGTATGAAGATGGCCAGGTGGGCGATGCCAACATTAACACTCAGGACCCCAAGATCCAAAAGGAGATCATGAGAGTGATTGGAACCCAGGTGTACAGCGATGAGGGATATTACCTCAGGATTATAGCTGCTACAGAGGGGAACAGTCTGTCCTCTCTAGGACCAAGATCATGGGGCAAATGTTGGTCTCTTTCTTGCTTCACATGAAGGAGATTGGGCATCCTCTGTGACCCTCTTTGATGTGGAGATGAGGGTCTTGCACTGATCAGGCTCTCCAGGATTCAGTAAGATATTGTTCTGTGTGGAGATGTCGACGAACTGGAACAATTACCTGAAATATACAGACTCTGCCCTGTGACAGTGCTATCCCTTTCCCTCGCTTTATCCCTACTCTGAACATTTCTCATTTACAACTCTTTGTTTAACAAAAAGAAAATCAAAAAGTTTAAAAATTAAAAAAAAAAGACATGAAAATTTTATTTGGAGTTGATTCCATTATTGTACTAATGGAAGTTAAATGGGGGAAGGAAAACTTTTCATCTGGACCATACAGGCAATGTTAAATGTCATTTCATGCCCCATATTACTGGTTAGACTGACCATCGCTTTTTAGCTTTTATTTCAGTGTTTGTGGAATCTGGATAGTTTTAGTTGCATGGTGCGTGCCCTCATGCTTCACTTTCAGGGAAAATACATCAGTAATGGATACATGATGATCATGAAGGGAGGTATAGGGTAAACAGTGATGTTCAGCTATCCTATGGCATTCAAAAACATGTCCATTTCAATCCATTCTGGGTCTTCTAATAGTTGTTGTGCTTCAAAGGCAGAAATTACACTACATTTCAAAAAGTAATTATAGTGTGTGCTTGTTCCTTCCATAGTCTAAAATAGCACTCAAGAAAGAAACCTTTAACACTCAGGTCAGCAACAAATAAAAAGAACATCGGATGACATTATTTACATAGTATTACATAAACTAGTTTTTCTTTTTAAATTATAATACATATATAAAAAAAATTAAAGCAAGCACTGCTTCCCTTCCATTAGTAAATATTATGATAAAAATACCCATCAGATGTAACTGAACATTAACCCTTTTGATGCCCAGTCTGCACGGTCGCTGCTGTGTTCATTCATCGCTACAGCATAGTAAACCGTGTTTACTATGTTTCAGTTTGTGAATAAATAGGAGTCTCTGGAGACTTATATTCATTAATATGCAGTGCAGTCAAAGCTGCAGAGAAAGGGACTGAGAACTCTATGAATTCAGCCCCTTTCTCTGTCTCAAAAAAAGAGAAATTAAGGATCTGTTTAGAGCTCAGATATCTCACCAAAGCTACCCCCCCCCAAAAAAGTGAAAAATATTAAAAATAAAATTGTATAAAAATAACATAAAATAAAAACATTGTAAAGTCTTGTTCACACAAGGCATACTACAGCATGCGCCCCGCAAGGCCATGTTTACCTGCACAGGGATGCACGGGTATTCTGTGCATCCCTGTGCAGGTAATCCCATTGATGTCATTTGCAATGTAGCAACTGCACAAACACAGTAGTTGCTCCCAATTTGACATACATGTGGGTCAGGGTGGATGTCCCTGACCTCACACTGTCTATATTCAGGGTTGTGCAACCACACCTACATGGATGTCTGATTGTGAGCATCGCCATGGCACTCCATGGGAATAAACTTTAGTACGCCCCATGTGAACGAGGCCTTAGTAGGAATTTAGCAGGAATTTTGTAAGTTATGTTGTGTTTATGTCGAATAATAATGATTTCAGCGTATTTTTTGTGAAAATAGTGATTTGATTAATATGCACAGCTATTGCGGGGCCTAAAAAATCATTGCACTTTTTTTCATTCTACAGGTCATGTGCTTTCAGAAAATGTATGGTTGGGGGGGGGGGGGGGGTCTTTTATAAACTCTGAAAGCTGTAAGTGAAAAATGAACACCTCCAGATTTTTAGAGTAAGTTGTTTTTATTTACAGTTTTGTGCTCCAGTTTTCACTATTTCACAAAAAGGCACAATTTGAATTGTACAAGTATTTGTTATTTATTAAATCAATACAGTTTTAGCTTTTATATCTAGTAGGAATTTTGGCAGGAATTTTGTAAATTTCGCCATGTATGTGTCTACTAATAATGATTTTAGTGTATTTTTAGTGAAAATATTGTTTTGATAAAAATTTGCCCAAAGATCACAGGGCCTAAAAAAAAATCAGTGGCACCTTCCTTTTTATTCTACTGGTCCTATGTGTTCAGAAAATGTATGGTTGGGGGGGGGGGGGGGGGGGGGGGGGGGGGGGGTCTTTCACAGACTCTGAAAGCTGTAAGGGAAAAATGTAAAAGTAATGGAACAACTGCAAAAATGGCACACATCCATCCGCACATCCTGTTGTTGACTGTGACTAAATATTGTTACTCCTCTATGTTCAAACACTAGTGACCTGGTACCTGGTAGTGACTGAGTAGATGAGGGGACTGAATGCAGTGACAGAGATTGTGAGGGCAGGGAGGCAGTTTCCAATCTGTGCTGTTGCCAGATGTGTAGAACAAAGGACTGAGGACCACCAAGGAAGGAACCGAGCGCAGGAAGACCAAGGTGCCAGAGCATGTTACAGGGACTAGATTTCCTTTGCAGATCAGTAAATCGAGGAAGAGAAAAACAGGGTTCAGGAAACAACCAAAGCCAGTAAGAGCCAGGCAAGTAAGTTCAAGGCAGAAGGCAATAAGTGAAGAATTCAAGCCATGGTCACAATGAGGAGGTCAAAGTCCAGAGGCAGGACAGGAGGCAAGTAAGGTTACAAACTGGGGTCAAGAACACCCAAGCAACGTAGAACCAGATAAGGAAGTGAAAACAATGTCAAGGAAACAAGCCGAAATCTTTAACAGCCAGGAGAAACAGGTAGAATCAGCAGGAAAGGTCAATGGTAATCAAAAACAAACTGAAGGACACTCAGCAATTGCTTTCTTCAGTGCTCTGGTGTAAAGGCTGCTGGGTGCCAACATTAGCGATGATGCCCACTCACTATTGCAGATCCAGCAGTTACTCTATGCACAGAGCCAGGGGCAGTAGTATGCGGTAGGAGGGGGTAGTTGGCCAATGAGCAGGAAGTATAAATCCTGCCCTGCATACTATGGTTTTTTTTCTTCATAAGACAAGTACAAGTAAATACTCCTGGTGAATGTGTCAAAACTGGAGCAGCTGTGAATGGCAACCAATCAGCTTCTACCTTCAGCTTGTTCAGTTAAAGCTGAACTTAAAGTGGAGTTCCAGTTTAATAAAAAAAAACAAAAGTCAGCAGCTACAAAAACTGTAGCTGCTGACTTTTAAAATACAGACACTTACCTGTCCCTCAGTCCAGCGGTGTCTTCGCCATGGCTGGTTTCACCGGCCGTCTTCTCTCCCTGGCACCAGCATCTTCAGTGTTGTCACCTGGCTGTTACAGTTTGCGGCTTTACAGCTGGGTGCCCACTGCGCATGCGTGAGTAGCGCTGCGCTTTGTGAATGGTCCCTGTCACATGTCCCAGAAGACTACGGGGAGGGAGGGGGAGGACAAATTCCGCTTCCAATTGCCTTGGGCGGAAGTGGGAGCGGGTACCTGTCAACCTTCCCCCCCCCCCCGCTCCTCAAAGGTGCCAATCCTTAACGGCAAGAGGGAAAAAGGCTCCCTTTTGTGTGTGGCTCCACTTTAAGTCCTAAATTAAGAAAAGACAGGCTCTTTATTGCGGAAGAGACTTGCAATGTCTCTTCTGCAATAAAATAAACCTACAGGCATGCTGACAGTCTTCTTTAGAATGTACACTGAGCTGCACATTAACTTATCCAGGAATTCATCTTGAACAAATTTATCATAAAAACATGAAAAAACTATTGTACTGCATACAGGGGTGTATTTACCACAAGGCAAACAAGGCACTTGCCTAGGGCAACATTTATCAAGGGGGGCAGCACCTGCCCCCAGAAGAAGGGGTGGAAGAAGGGACACGCCATTGGAACCGGGTGGGATTCGAGAGAAGCTATGGTCTGCTTGATGGTGTATGTAGTGCCTGGCTCATGTTGGGGGGATGTCCAGAGGTGTGAAGATGAGTGTCTCTCTATCACGTGGGGGGGTGGGAGGTTGTGGAAGGCTCCCAGGTGTGTTGTTAGTCAATGTCAGGCTCTCTCTGCGGGAGGGGGAAGGGGGGGTTGTGTTGGTCGGTGTCTGTGGGGGCAGACAATTTTTGTGTTGCTAGGGCAGTACAAAACCTAAGTACACCACTGACTGCATATAGCCTTTGTAATGTGTAGGTAGTCTCAGACCGTCTCTTGCAACATAGTCAGCTGCTGAAAGTCTCTTGTAATGTATTGGCAATCTGTATTTATAGCATCTGGGCAGTTTTAGCAGTTCATATACAAATACTGAACTTGAGGTTGGATCCAGAGATGTACATAATGTATTGGAGTTGTCCTCCCTTATTTGGGCAGATGCCCACTTCTGAAAAAGCTATGGAAATATATTAGATAATCTTAGAGATTGTCTGTCTCCAATCAGAATGTCACATTGACAGTGACTAAGCAGTGTTCAAGTCCAATATTGAATTTCTAATCTATTTACACCATGGGTGTCAAACTGGTGGCCCTCCAGATGTTGCCAAACTACAAGTCCCATGAGACATTGCAAGATTGACAGTTACAAGCATGACTCCCAAAGGCAGACGCATGATGGGACTTGTAGTTTCGCAACAGCTGGAGTGCCACCAGTTTGACACCCCTGATTTACACCATTGTGACAGTCTCCTGGTACTTGAGATTGGTCTCCATAAACATGACAGCAATAAAAGTGAGTTGCATATATGCTGTCCTTTTGCTTAAAGATCCTTTAAAAACTTTATTGATAAATAAAAGCTTTCAACGCATGAATAAAAGCTAACTGTTTTACGCACACCTGCCCAGTGTAATATGGTTTGTCCTGACACCCGTAATTTCCATCCTTTTGCTGGACAGTATGACCTGTTAAAGGAAATGGAAAAATAACAGATCTACTAGCTGTATCTCATTCCCAAGACCGTTACATTCATACATTGTGCCCTTGCAGAACACATGCAGAAAAACTC